AAATATCGAATAAAATGTATAGCATTCCATAAGAAAAACAAAAATTGCTATCAGTTTCTGAAAAACTGTAGATTTGGCAACATCGCGGATATCATCGACGGATACGGGTTTTGAACCCATTTTTTTTAATTAGGTGAGTCATTCGTCAGATATTCGATGCGTTCTAAACTTCTATTACAATCTGTATGTAATGTGAACGGCAACAATACTAAACCGGTTAATAGAGATAATGATACGAATGTAAATAAAAAACTTTGATTCCATGGGCACTTTTGTTCTAAGCGTTGAGGTCTAAATTTTAAAAAAAATAACCTAAAGCCATTACCCATTTCGTCTCTGCGGGGCTGTTTTGCCCGAACACGTGGTGAGAACGAAAATGTATCGAATCACCCAGACCTGTGCAACGTGTGTTAGAATGGAAACGGATCTTTATCGCATCATCGATATTGCTTGCTACATGGGATCCCAAACTATTATCTAGTAATAAAGCGGAACAAGAAAAAATATGGCACGCTCTGCAATACCGACTGCAACATAAATTATCTCATTAATAACAATAATGCCTTCATTGTTGCGCAACTGATGCGGAAAATTGCGTGTTGTTCCTCCTTTTTCCTTTGTAAACAAATGAAGTTATTATATTGTTGGTTCTCATCAACTTTTTTTGCAACGTTTTACCTATAACTTACATAACTATCATGATTACCGTGTGCTTTACTAATAAATGTATTGGATGATTGCTGTTATGACTTCTTTCCATCATTATAACGGACTTATAACAGCTTTCTGTCATTTAATTCGAATATATGCATATGCAGTTATACTTTGTTGCAATATGCCTTATGAGGTAAGGAAAACTTGCCGCATATTACCCTAGTGGCAATAATATTACTCAGATGAAATTCCTCCTTCGGGCGTGCAGATGAGCGTTGCCATCGAAATGTGTACGATGCTCTGAGCAGGAACATTTAGAGCAGCCATAAATAGCAGTATGATAGTGAATATGGTAGTCAACGTGACAGCTGACGATCGGTACCTAACAGTCAAAGCACAACAAGAAAAGCATAAGATCCACTGAGTCCAGGTGCCCAATTTTTGAACGCAGTGGAAAAGAACACTCCCTGGAGAATGCTTCCTGCCAGTGGTGGATTTAGAGGGAAATGAGGATGCAATCTCCTCCCCCTCCCCCTATATTCCCAGGTCTGCCAGTTTTTTCAAGAAATTACTATATATAGTCAACGCCAAACAAAGTGGCGTGCACGTCATCACGATAAAAATTCCCCGACCTAATGCCTAGGTTTCTATCACAAACAATTGCTCTATTGCAGTTTCATATTAATGTGATATATAAATTGTAAAATGGTCATTACTCTCTTATTATGGTTAATAGTCATATAAACATTGTTATTAAAATATCACATAAGTTGCTTTCTGATAAATTTAGACGCATTATGCGAAATAAAATGTTTTGCAAACGCTCCAATCACTTATCGACATGTAAACGCACTAAACCGATTTCGCAGCGTTGACACATTGTCACCTTGAAACTTATTTAAACTGGGAACTGACATTTGTATTAATTTTGACACTGAATCAATTTGTGGCATTTCAAATCTTTATAAATCCTTTGGCCCCGCATACTGTAAATCAACAACTGTTTGTTTCAAAACAAAATTATTCATTTTACGAGTAGATAAAGGCAATTTTGGTATATAAAGATGCCCAAACAGTTAAATAGTCGGTGTAAGGAACTCGTGGCCTCGTTAATGCACTACTTTGAGCAAGAAAGGGACAACAACGGGCCTTTGTTGCCTTTAAATGCTGTTCAAGAGGTAGGTTACTAATAATTATATGTAATGTATATTAATAATAGTGAAATTTTATTTCATTTTTTGTAGCGTGTTGCTGCTGCTTTAAAAATTAGTTTAAGGACAGTTAGTCGTATTTCCGAGGGTGTGAAAAGTGATGCAAATTTAAAATCGCCCAAGAAAAAGCGGAGTTATATTAAACGTGTAACCAACACAGCGACATTGGATACAAGTGCCATTCGAGAAGTGATCTATAATATGTATCACAAAAGTAAGATCTTATTATAATAACTTATCAGAAATTTGCATTAATTTGTTAACTAAATTATAATGTCATATTACACATGGCTTCAGAAGAACAAGTTACGATACAAACTTTATGGTCTCGATTAAGAGATAGGGCATTATTTGATGGTAGTGCCACGTCTTTAAGGCGGTTGCTTAGAGATCTTGGATTTAAGTGGCTTAAGGACAATCCGCGACGAGGGCTCATGGAACTACCAAGTATAGCTTTGAAAAGGGTGGAATTTCCAAGGCAATACAATCAAGCCAATGTTGAGGCCTTATACCAGTTTGTCTTCCTCGATGAAACTTGGATATTTCAAAATGAGACCATAGGTCGCTCTTGGCAAAATGGAAACCAAAAAAGCGTGAAAGCTATTAAAACAGATGGTAAAAGGTTATGTACTTTTACACAATTTGCACTATAAAATTTAAAACTAATATATTTTAGATACATTATATTACATGCTGGAAATGAAAATGGGTTTATTGAGGGTAGTGAAGCGATATTTTCTTCGAAAACAAAATTGAGCGATTACCATGGAGAGATGAACCAGGACAATTTTTTGAAATGGTTTCAACATCAGTTATTAGAAAAATTGGAGAGTCCATCTATGATTATACTGGATAACGCCCCTTATCACAGCATGATATTGAACAAAGTGCCCAACAATGCATGGACAAAAAAAATATCCAAGACTGGTTGACAAATCAAAACATACCATTTTTAAACACAATGTTTAAAACAGAGCTATTGAGTATTGTTGCTCGGTACATAATGCTTCTTAATTATATATATTTTGGTCGACAGTTTATATTTCTTTTGTTTATTCCTATTCTTAAAATAACTGCTTTTTTAGAAACAAACCACCTAAAATATACGTGATTGATGAATTGGCGGAACAACATGGGCACAAAGTTCTTCGTCTGCATCCTTACCATTGTATATTTAACCCTATTGAGTTAATTTGGGGCATAGCAAAAGGTTACTATAACAGACATATTGGTAGAGATGGTAACAGTGAAAAAGACTGTTTGGATATGTGGAACGAGGCTCTACAAACGGTTACCCCAGACATGTGGAAAAATAGTGTTCGACATACTGAGCAAGAAATTTTTAAATGGTATGAAAGAGAACGAATTTTTGATCGACCAGACATCGAACCTTTAATAATCAACTTTGAGAGTGATGAAGATTCAGATTCAGACAGCGCTGAAGAAAGAAACTCCGACTAACTTTATTGTACAGAAAAAGCTTACACCAGTAGCTTACCTAATTTTAGAATGCATTTTTCTGTATGAATTCTGTAAAATAAATACCATGCATAAAATTTGGAGGACCCCATTTGGATTTTTATTCAGTACCTTTAAGCTATCAATTAAATATGGTAGTTTCATAGTGTCATCTGATCAATAATTGTCATACTTAATGATTATGCAAGTACAGATCTATAATTTTATTATACTATTATTTTTGTTCTCATTTGAGGTTAATATTGCTTATAAACCTAGATATGTAAATAATAAATTTTATTATTTTACAAAAAGTTTGGCAACAATGTAAATTTTTCAACACACCCACCTTGATGACGTGCACGCCACTTTGTTTGGCGTTGACTATATTGTTGTATTTTGGTTTGGTTTGGACCCCCTACTCTCCAAGCTCTGCCAGTTTTTTCAAGAAAGTAGTATATATTTCGGTGTAAAAATTATTTTGAATTGTGAAAAGCACTGCTTAAACACCTAAGCATGCGCATGCAACCGCCATCCACCCTCCGTTGAATTTTAATTCCGCTCGTACTCCCTGTGAAATGATCCTAATTTCTGACAGCTATCAACACTTGTCAAACAAGTATGTGAATGCACCCATTTTCGACAATATAATTTCCTAGGTTCTTCACATCATTAAACGTTTGATCGCAAAGTTATCTTCGTCTTTACAGAAGAGAGTGATAGAAGACGGATGGTGAGACTTCTGCAATTTTTTCCAAAAAATGACTCCGCAAACGACTTTTCAGTGTCCGGAAATATATTTCCCCGAAAAGGCAAGAGAACCATGCTCACTACCCGACAGTAATTCTTCAATCTCGCGAAGAATTTCGGAAACCGTTTTTTTTTTAATGATTTATGAGATCCATATTACGAAAAAGAATGTCACTCATTTCCCTCATTCTGTCTGTCTGCCCGCTAATGCTATATAACTCTCTCTATAACTCGGAAAGTAGTAGGAGCATCGATGACAAAAAAATTTGTAGTTTTTGAAAATCGGTCCAGCGGTACAATGGCAGAAAACAAAAAAAACTTGTTGTTTCAGAGGGGTATAATCATCTTCGGAAAAAAGTTCTAGGGATTAAAAATCGGGCGTTAGGGAGTTTGACGGTATATTTATATGCATCCAACTCCGGTAATTCTACGTACCAATTACACATAATTGACTCATTATAGAAGACAGAAATATTTCGTCTGACTACGGAGCGTCGCAATCGTCAGTCGCTTCCGTACTGCTGTGGGTTATGTAACACAATATCGTCATCCACGCGGGACTAGTCATAGCAACGATCATGTGCACCCGCAGGATTTTTCTCGGGGGGAGGGGAGGGTCATCGACAAGAGACAACTTTGTGTGAAAGCGTACCTACCTCCAAAAGTGTTTGAATAGCGGAAGCATATTTTCTCAAGTGGGCCAAATCCTAAAAAGCCCCAAAATTGTACTCAAAAGCATACTAAATATGCAACTTTTAACTGTATGATGATGACAGCGTTGCATGGGAAATACTTGATGCCGTTTTTTTTTTTGAAAAGAATGCAAAAAAATGTAATCGGAATAATATTTTGACACACACACACAAGGCGGAATATTTTAATCCATGATTTCATATTGAATCAATATATTTGATATTTTTTTTTCAGCCGTAGCTCCAGAACCCGTGCCCCCAGTCACTACTCGTACCGGAGCGCAGTAGCGCCATCTGTTGCCAGCACAGCAAGGACGAAAGGTTCCAGGAAAATGGGCATGACTGTGGAAGCGATGGCTGCACCAAACCCTTTCTGTCCAAACATCAAGGGCATGTGCTGTCTCATGCTGTTGCTCAATCTAGCCATCATCTTGGTCACGTTGGGATTCGTGATTGTTATACAATTCTTTGAGCCGCTCTACGTTTGGTAAGCATCCATACTTAGATCATGTTAGCTCATTTGTTTTTAAAAGATACAAACAAGGTTGAGCGTATCAAAGTGAGGTCCTTAATCGAAAGAACCTCTTAGATTTTTTCAAAAATAGCTGTTGTAAAAAAACATGCGAATTCAAAATACTACGATCTTGTAACTGGAAGATTAAAGAACCAGCAAAATCAGTTATTTTGAAACACTTATATGTCAAAATCCATCCAGCCATTTAAACTGTAGGCTGTGAATAAGATATTTCAAACTTGAAATGTTTGATTGAAAACCGGCATTTTGATTTTACGAAATTTAAATATACGCAGTGTCACTTGCACTATTAAAATAAATCCTACAACACCTCATATGTCCAAATCCATCAAGTCGTTTGGAATGAGGCCCGTAAAACAGAATTTTGGTCCACATACATACACACTAGGGGTGTAAATTGAGTGATGGGACTGTTATATTTTATTCAAATATAATTACAATTTTATATTGTCACCCTTAAAATAACTTCCTTTTGAAGTCACACAGCGCTGGAGTCGGTTCTTCCACTCCTCATAGCAATGCTGTAACTCCGATACTGGAATAGCCTTCAACTGGTCAGTTACAGCCATTTGAATGTTCTCGACTGTCCCAAAATGAGGAGTTCCCTTGGGGAGATTTTTCATCTCCGGGAAAAAAGTCAAAAGGTACAAGGACTCAAATCAGGTGAATAAGGAGGCTGAGGAGCCATAGGAATGTTTTTACTGGCCAAAAACTTGTTTGTGGAGTGAGTCAAATTAACTCTTCCCCATTCTGACTGTCAACCGACGATCTGAAAACACAAGATCCTTGATTCTGTCAATATTTTCATCAGCTCTTGGAGATAAAGGCCTTCTTCGTCGTTCATCTTCAATCTACTCTCTTCCTTCTGATTATGCCTTAAACCACCGAAAAACCTGGTCTCTTGACAAAACACTATCTCCGAAGGCCTGTTGAATTTTAACAAGAGTTACCGTTGCACTGTGCCCAAGTCTGAAGCAAAACCTGATAGCACACCGTTGCTTGAAATTGATGTCACTCATTTTTAAAACACAATAAAAAACTGTTTCCCAAAACGCTACAAACCAAAGAACTCGAGCGAGTTCAAACTTGTACTGAAGGCGGATCACACATTCCCCTATCTCCACTCCAAGCCCGGCGCCTCCAGTGTTGCTGGATCGAACGCTACGTTTCCAGTCTTATCAATTAACTTACAGACCTCCTACATATCCTTGCGCGAAAAGCATACACCTGCTTCTGAGACAGATCAGGTAAAGAAAGAAATGTTCTGCTAGATAGATCATTTTCGTGATCTACCCACCAGATTAGCCTAAGAGGTGGGATTGCTGAATACGATAGAATTTATGCAAATTTTCTTCAAAAATGTAGTATTTCTTTAAAATTTGAAGTTTCTCGATGCAAAATTTCCATTTTTGTAACGTGTACGCTAGATAATTTGGAACGCTGACTTCGAATGTGACTATCGAAAAATGCCATGTCCTCTTTAGTGTATGTAAATTAGATTCACCCACCGAACTCAGCGAAAAACTGAAATGATATTAATAATTTACCCAATAAAAAGATTTTAATAAAAAAAAATACGCGGGAAATCCTTCTCTTAAGGGTATTTACTCTCAGAACCAGTGATGCGATGAAAATGCCCAAGTAATTGATACTTAGTACTTTAAATACTGTTCACTGGTATTTGTGACAGCGCTGGACTAAGCTAATGCCTATCTTTTTTTTTTCAGGATATTAGGCATAATCTTCCTAATCTTCGGCTTTATAACCCTGATAGGAAGCCTCATATACTGCGTAACCATCTGCAGGGAGTTCAAGAGCCCATCCGAAGTCAACCCAGACGACCTCTACTGGACACATCACTGGCAGAAGAACATCGGTTCGTCAGAGATACATTACAATACCAAGGACAAATACGCTGACGACAGATATAGTGATAGGTATTCTGTCAGCAAAATGTCTGGAAAAAGCGGAAAATACTCTGACAGGAATGGAAGATATTGATTGTTAAGAAGCAATGATATAGTTACAGATGTAATGGAGTCAATTGCTCATCCTAACTGTTTACTAACCGGCTAGAGTATTAAGAAACTTTTGAAATGGCTTTTTGGCAGTAATGCTTAATTTCAAGCATCACTAATGCACTGCAAATGTCTATTACATAATATTCTGAAGATGTATTACCAATATCTCTGCGACTGTTAAGACCAGTAGATATATCTGTAAACATCACCACAATAAAGATATCCTTCAAGCTAAGTCGAACGGATGTTTACGAGGCGTATATTTTAAATTTTCTGAGCAAGACGTCAGAATATCTTGACTGGAGGACATACTTCATCAGAAATTCTCAACTCCAAGACTAAGTAGATGTTTACGGCATTTTTCTACCATGTTATTTAAGCGTATTGGAGCTTTAGGAAAAAATATGTTCAAAACAAAGAGAACGTATACCTACACTTTGTTCAAAATATACAAGTGATGTAATGAATAAAAGTATGAAATATATATGTATAGAATAGCTGATACTAATAACCTAATTTTATATCAGGATATCAAGATGTTGTTTTCGCGCTTCCATCTGCATAAACGGTAAAGAAAAGCTATAAAGTGATATGCACGTATTTGATATACACTGACTTGTTTTATCCACGACCGAACGAGAAAGTAGAACTTTAGTGCCCAGTGTCTTTAAATTGATCTATGATCATAGACGTAATAAGCGTTAAGGTCCTTGACATGTAACAGCATGATACTTTGCACTTTGATTTGTGATTTGATGTAAAGTGGCCACAAATGCCCACTTTACGCCCTAGATACATAAAAAACTGTTGCATATCAGTGTTCCAAATTAACTCCGCACATATGAACATAAAAGTACAAATATCGTGCAATTGCAGATATCGTAATATTATTATGTCAATCTAACCATTATCTTTGCTGGGCGAGATATGTGTTTATGTTTCTATGACAATTTTCTCAAGTAAAACTGATTTTCAGACGATATTAATCCAATCCTAGAAGATTGCAGTTCATACGTGTACGTGTTACGAAATACGCATTCAATTTATTTATTTATCCGATACATACTAATGGAAACTTGCAATACTTATGTTTCAATGTATATAGTATTTATACATTTTATAATAACGATTTTCGAATAAAATGCCATGGAAAAATTGTGTTTTTTTCGTGAGACCGTATGATGGCCTGGAAAAATATGTTCTTGAGATAAGTTCATCATCAGTGTCCGTCTACCTATGAATATTGTAGGGTTGTTCAGCTTTTGTTTGTTGTCCTACATGTTACCAAGCCTACATCATGCTGAGGAGTTGCCAAATAGCACGAAACAGCAGCCAATGTTACTAGTTTGTTCAATGGCGAGTAGAACCTATCTACTATAGGTCCAGAATCGGCGTCATCTAGCGGCCACAGTAGTTACTCGGCTGACAATGCGAATTGAGATACAGTTCCAACAGTCAGATTAATGTATTCACTTTTGCAGTGGTCAGTTCTGGTAACAGATGCCACTTTGTGCTGTCTTATTTTAATATATTTCTTATTCATTTATTTCGACGGACCGTTTTACAGTAAGAAATTTTTATATGTTCATACAAGATGCCTTTACATCGTAATGGATAAAAATCATAGTTGCACTAGATTTTCAACTCACAAGTCAAAATTATACCTGGCCAGCCTGGTAAAAAAAACATGAAAGGTAGCCTCAAAAGATCCAGATCAGCATTATCACTTAAATAAAGTATGTGATGATTGAAAAATCAAGATAATTAATTATATTATCAAATCATTTGAAAATGTCCAAAAACATTCTTTTATCTTGAAGCGAAATCAATCCAGTTATCATCCTCATCTAATTCAATGAAATACAAGAAAACACCATTTTGCCACACCTAGCTTCTCAATTTTCGATTTGGTGCAACCCTGTGCCCTACTCATTTTTTAAGCAGCACTTCAGCATTTGATGCTTCCCTCCCTCACTCCATTTTTTTCAATTACAGGGATACAGTGCAACCCTGCGCACTCCAATTTTTGGAACAGCTTTTCAGCATTTGATCATACTCTTTTCTCCCGCTATTCACTTTTCTATACCAAGCAGAGATCAAGCAATGTGCCCCCCTCTTTAATTGACAATTGTTGTTGTTTTTGATTTTTTATTTAATCTCCACCGAAATCAGATCGAATATATTTGGCAACACTGTCCATCATACAATGTCATCTCTATAGGAATGTAGGTGTACGAGTATACATCACGACATGACGTCTACCGAGGTGAACAGCAAGTGACATTTTTGTGTTAGTCTGCAATGTTGGCAATAATGGATCGGGTATACATCTAGTAAAACATGTTTGTGGCGTTTGGTTTTTTGTATGCAAATGAACTTTTACAAATAAAAGAGCTGTTAGCAAGTGCAGAATGAATCTGTAGCGTACAAAAAAAAACAAAATTCGGCTGTCTACCTGGCGTTGACGGATCTGTCAGAATTATGCGTCCTGTGCCGACATGGGGAATTTTGAAATATTACTAGATAATCAACTGTCATTCTACCGTGATGAATACTCGTGAAATAGGGTCTAGCATGGCTTGACAGGTTGACTCAAGGCATTAAAACAGACTCTTAACTTCTTACAAATAATCTTCAAAAGCCACCAGTAAAATTGAACTTAAAGACGTCTGACAACCAAAAATGTGCAAAATTATATTAATTTCATAACGAGAAGAGGGATGATTTAAACAAAGTTTAATTCTCATAGTATATTTCCTGAACAAAAAATCTAAAATTATGTTTTTGGTGCATCTGGCAATCCCAACAGTTTTCTTACACTATCTCCATACTTTGTGACAGAATATTCACTTTCTCCTGAAATGGAAAAAATAACTTGAAGAAGCAAACTAATGAATTTGAACTGCAGTGTCTATCTTTTGCATCTGTTCATTCACATAGAAATATTGAGCTCATACTAAGAAATTAAGCTTACCTTCATTCATCAATGTACTGACAGCTTCAGAGTATTCTTTGACATTGGGAATATCTTCTGTTTGTTTACCAAACAAGGCCTCAACACTCTTCTTAGAGGCATTTTTACTCCAATCATAATACTCCATATCAGCCTCAGATTTAAGTTCTTCCCATGGCTCAACATTCTGAAAAATATATTAGCAAACTGATGATACTGAAATTATAGTCCTTAAGATCAAGCATATCAACATAGGCATGTTGCCTAGAAGATCAAAATGGCACCAAGTGCAATGTCCTTGGAATCTATATTTTGCACGTAAGTATCTGATTCTAAGAATTTCTCAATACTTATATACTTACCCAAGATTCATGGTAACAAGCAGTCAAAAGGTACATGGCATAGTCATAATTTTGTTTTTTCAGTGGACATCTGTCTGTAACTATAGCCACTGTATCAGTTTCTTTATTGTATCTTTCACCCACAAGCCTCAAAAATTTATCTTTTGCCCTTTCATTCAGGTTCAATGAAGATAATTTGAATTTTATAGTTACTATTCTGGCCAATGGATTTCTTATAGTAGGTGCTGAATGACAATAGTCACTAGATGTAACCTATAAAAAACATTGAAATTCAATATAATTGAGGGCTTAGGGCAACAGGATACCTAAGCTACATTGAACAAAGTCATAAGATTTATCTAAATCCTGAAATCACATTTCTTGCTTAATTTCAATTGAAATAGGTTTACATTTTTAGCATTACCTAAAGATGATTATCGAATCAAAAAAATATAATAGCATTTTGATAAAATAAATTAATTTTTGAAAATATTGTGGCTTGGTCCTTATTGAGAAAAAAGTTTTACTGCAAGGGTAAAAATTATTCATCAGTCTTGAATTTGACAGACTTCTTATCTACAGTAAAATAGTTTTTCCTGACAAATGCATACAAGTAAATGTTCTGTTTGTCTATTAATAAAGCCTGGGTATGACAGCGACAAGCAAATAGAAGTGGTGATTGCATGAGGATGTTCTTCTCAGAATGGACTAAATGAGGTTTGACTATTTTATAGTCACTTGGATTGTGACTGCCCAGGTTTCCTATCAATATTAAACACCGTTCAGAGAATTAGCCTTCTATGGCTAATGTAAGTGAAACTTGACTACATCAAAATTATACAACATCTATTTTGTATTTCTATTTCAATACCTCTGAGGAAAACATGAACCTGGAAAAGTCTACTATTGAGAATATTTTGTATGGTCATATAAAAGATATTTGAACAGGCAGGAGTGCTATAATTTCTTGACATGGCTATCTGGATAATTGGCAACTAAGTCCAAGACACTGACAATTGGTCAAACACTCAATTTGAAATAGAATGAAATTTAATCTAAAGCATATGGTTCTCTTGTTACTAAAAGTTAACTATAGTCTTTTTGACTAGTATCCATTATGGTAGAATGACAGCTGAAACATGACACATAATTCTAACAGATGTCAATGCTAGGTAGACAGAACCATATTTCGTTTAGACTTTATGTACACTACAGATTCATTTTGTGCTTGTGAGAAGCTCTTTTATTTAGTAAAGTTCATTTGAATAGAAAAAGCAAAATGCTATGATTAAGTTTTACTAGATTTACACCCGATTCATTATTGCCAACATTGCAGACTAACACTAAAATATCATTTGCTGATCAGCTGTTCACCTAAGTAGATGTCAAAGCCTGATGGATACTCCTGAAATAGGGTATAAGTATATGATATACAGGTTTTGAAAATAACCTCTATTTTTATGAAGCTGAGAGTACCCACAAAAAGTATGATTTGTTTATGCAAAACAGAAGTTATCCTCAAATGTATGTCATCCCAGAGCAATTTAACTTTCAAGGCCCTACTTGGAATATTACCTGATTTGGTTCAGTAACAAAAGCAACATTTATGCTTGAAATCCAAATCGTTTTTAACATCAAATTGCATAATTGACAGTTATTCATAGGAACTTACCTCAATAGGAAAATGCTTTTCACATTCTTTGTCATTCTCTAATGCCTTGGGCCAAGGTGTACAAAACTTTTTCAAAGCCTCACATTGCCTTTTTATAACTGGTGGTGTAAGATGTAAAAAATTTGGTATTTTAATAAGCTCTGCATTAGCATACTTGTCTGGTGCAACCCCTTTTTCCACATAGCCCTGTCGAACAGGTAGCGGTACAGATGCTGGATGAAAAGACCTTGGCCCAGGCCAAACACTGCCCCAGTCTTGATCTACTGGCATTTTGTTGGTCCTGAAATATTTGTATCATCAGAAATCTGATACATGTTTAAATACCCATACAAGTTATGCATACGCATACCTGGGTGGCAGTGCCTCTAACTGTTTCTGAGCTCTTTTAGGCTGCGTTTGTCGTTTGACGTTCTTTAAGTTCAAAACTCTAAACTCCTCTGAAAGAAAGTTATGGTAGAAGATTAAAAAGCCAATATTATTGTTAAAAACTGACCTTTAACTTCTTTCTTGACTTCTGTCGAATATGCAATAGAAAAGGGTAACGATTTTTCGACATTGCTGAAGAGGAATTTTTCAAAACTCCTAGAATACGACAACATTTTAACCTAAGATATTTTATTAAATGTGAATGTTTGATAATTAATTTTTAAGGTTAGGGTTGCGTAGAAGAACGTCAATCAATCACCAAACCTCACAGAACATCACCTCTCCAAAAAATAGTGATGACAAATGGAATCAGTTGTATTCGTTCTTGAGCGAGTATCGTACATAGCTCGTCTTACCTGGGACTAGAATTCTGATCACAGTGGTTACACAGAAAAGATGGTGATTGGCTAAAAATTCCCCTTTTTCATGTTTGTCAAACTTCCAAAAATTTTTCCATGTTATATCAAGAAACTCATTTCTTGCGTTTTGTATGTGAAATATCACGATTGCTTTATCTGTTACATTTGTGAATAAGTCATAAGGTTCAACATCCTGCTAAATCATCCTCCCAAATTGATCCAATTTCCGTTTTCGCTTTGAAAAGTTGGCGGTGATCACGTGACTGATATCCGTCAGAAACGTCAAATGTAAACGAGAAGTCGGTGTGAGAGACTGGACATCTTTAAAAAAAACCAATCTCCGAAAGCATTCGGAGACATTTTTTAGTAAAATTAAAGTGATAAACGACTAGTTACATCGCCTAAGATGGAAATACGGAAGCTGATAGACCTTCTGAGGGCAACTATCGACCCTGCACAGCGACAACAAGCCGAGGCCCAATTGGAACAGGTAAGCTACAACATGTGCTCATGAGACATTTCCATGGATTTTTAGCAAAAATAGCCTTATCCGAGATGTAAAACTGTATCATAAAGTAATCTTATGATAGAGGGATGCATTTTGTTACATTACATACTAATTACGAAGGATAAGTTCAAAGCCTCTACAGTGGCGGTAAACGAAAGAGTTGAAGGAATGCATATATATAAATTCCTTAATAATGCATGTTTTGAGTTGTTAACAAGCTGCAAGCTATCTGAGAATCCAGTATTCAAGAGAGCAATCAATAAGAACATTATTTTTAATACTGGGAACAAAGGGTAATTTGATCCTGAGAATAAATGAACTTACTATTTACTGCTTGTCCATTGGTGTAAATAGGGTGAGTGTGCGTGTACCTGTGGCTCGACAGTTTAGACAAAAATGAAAATAACTAATATTTTCAAAGGTGGTCATATAATGTTCACAAAGGTGCTATTTTGCCAGTACCCCAACAATTAATGTAGTTGGCCAGCAAGTTTCTAGTTGTCTGACAGCATTTGATTAGCTAGTTTTAGACATAACTGTATTTAATATTCATGATAGTAGAAAAGAAATTTCAAACGTGTTATGTCATCTCAATATTAAGGAAAATTAATCGAATACACTCATATTGAATTGTACTAATATACATATATTTATCAAAAATAAAATTAAAATAAACTAATATATTCCTTTAACCTTATGTTGCATGGTCGACTTTGAAATACCATAGTGTTTACCACATTTCATACAATTTCCGACCATATCACAGCTTCAAATACCTCCTGCCTTCACTATATGTATACATATATATACTTTTTTCCTTAGTGTCTATTACAGAAATGATATGAAAATGTGAAGTTTTGTTAACTCCAGTAGACACAATATTACTAGCCATAATGTATATTTTTTATTCTCCACTGTCTCTCTACTGGCTTTAGTCATATCTTGCTATATTTAAGTCCAAGAGAGAAGTTTAATATTCTGTATGGTTATTTAGAAGAAGATATATAGATAACAAAAATTGCCTTGTATAATCCAACTGTTGGATCTTGGCTAGTATTATGTACCAGTCACTGGTCACTCCAATTTGACCTTAAAATTTAAAAAAGAAAACATTACTTAATTCATTTTGTAAACTTTGAATATGTTAAACATAGCTTTTGTTGAATGTATGCTGTTTTTTATGTGCTAATGCTGTTGTCAATATGACAAATATGGATGTGAATTTTTTTTAAATTGTCACAAATCTGTTAACAATTACCAGAAGAATAGGATTTAAAATTTTCAAGCTTTACCAATAGTATAAGATTTGTCTGACTAGTGGAGTGTGCCCAGGTTACTAGCACATTCACCCTACTCATCCTTATGTAGGTCCTCTAATTGAATCTGTTTATATATTTCGCTTTGATTACCATGTTTGAAGGCCACTAAAATATGCCTGAAAGTTTCTTGATGCAAAAGTATCTTGTTCAAATGCACCTTTGCCTCCTTGATAGGTCCATACTCCTTGTGGTTCCACAAAGAAATTAATGTGAATATAAATATGAATATCCATCTATTTTCAACGAAGTGAACGAGAGAAAGATAGAAGAATGCAATACATAAAATGCTAGAAAGAATGTGCCCTCCTTAAATTCATAATAGTCCAGTGCTATTAGGGTTTTTTTTTAGTAGTTATTTCTACACTGGTATGCCAACCACTCTCGTTAACTACATGACATCAAATGCTGAATGTAATATTTTCAAACTGCATTAATGTTGAAATGTAATAAAACAAATTGTGGTTAATCTATTAACAAGATTCTGTTTTATTTGAAATTTAATTGTATGGAATATGATATGAGTCTTCTGTCCAGATAGCATACCACAGTGGCATAGATTCAAGTAATTCAAATTTTAGTAACTCACACAGCTGCTACAAATGAACTTGAGTGAATGATGAATGACAGCTAGTTCCAAGATGACATTTTTCCGGAAATCATACATAATGTCAAAAAAACCTACATACTATCATAAAAAATGGGAACAGTGTCACTTTTTAAGACATGTTATACAAGTGTGATGTTTAACTGATTACTTGTTGGAAAAAAAAACACTAAAATTACTCTACTGTCATGAATATGGAGGTGGTAACCTTGCTTTGGAATGAACGGAGATGCGGTGTTGTCAAACCAATCACGGACGGACACAATTCGCGATTTAGAAATGTGTATGCACAAAATCAAAACATTATTCGGGCGTCGAAAACAAACTAAAGCTTATTTCCACCATTATGATTCAAGAAAATGGTGGAACGTTTGGCAACGCGGCAAATTACAGTCACGTTCCGCGCCCTCCCCCTCTGTCGCAGTCTTATGGGACACTTTTTCTAACATACATGTTGCATGCTTCTCTCTGTCTCTCTCCGTGCCTCCCTCCGTCAAGGCAACTTGATATATAGTTGTTTTTATGATTCCAAAATTTCGTTAAGGCAATACATCTTTGTAGTTTCTTTTTTTTATATACTCCAACCACCACGAAGGCCTAAGGCCTAAATACCCATGTTGTATCGTGGGGCTATAGGGGGATACAGGGGAAAGGGGGAACGCCACACGGACTCTGGCGAGGGAACACGTGTGCAAGCAACATGCACACATTCTGGCCCCGCCGGGTGGTACCTCCGCGTTCGACAGTCAGAGACCGTCTAACACCTACGGACAATCACAACATCCATAGCCAAGAGAAAAATTTCTCCTAGGACGGGATTCGAACCCGCACAGCTCACGGCGACTGATCAGGAGGCTACTACTGCGGCCACCGCTGCCGCCAGTTTCTAAACAAAATTTTAGCGTATTAGAAATAAGCAGCAGAAAAAATCTCATTTTTTATATGTTATTCACACTATAGCAAAAGCTGTCTAAGTAGCCAAGAGACTGCTGGAATTTTTAGTTTTGATCTAATAGTCGCAATAATTTGTCTTACTGATGTTAAGTTTTTTTAAAAAAATGTAACTGTGAAGGCTTATTTAAATTGACGTAATCAACATTTTAATTTAGCAGGCAAGGGACGTTAACCGACTGGATGATCTGTTTTCTGATGAAGCATATTTATTAGTTAATAAGTTCAGTTGAGTATAGTATGGTTAAATTAGATAATGAATAAGAGTGATAGTTTAATTAGGATAGAAGTAACAGTCATGCCACAAATATGTTAGTTGTTCGTCAGTGGTTGTTAAATAATTACCACTTATTAATGTGCTCTTGTATGCATGACATGTTCCCAGTCAGAATTTATTCATCATTATGAATAGGAGTGTGTGTTAAAAAAGGTGTCAAGTAGGTTTACTCTGCACTTTCCCCAAAACACTATCATCAGTTCATAAAGGATTCAATTACTCCTCTGAGAAAAAAGGTGACTACAAAAATGTATAACAAAAAATTAAATTGATCAAGTTGGTCAATCAGTTGCTCATTCAGTTGGAATTTGCATGTTTAGCATGTTTTGTGCAATTTTGGGTATTCTTATGATTTGACTTCTCTTAAAAAGTATGTTACCCCCCACTCTTCAAAAAGTTTTAGACGGAAAAGCTTTGAAATTTTGGTACTTCACAAAAAGTTATCTTGTTTTGATGACTGATCCCCCTGCCTCCTTCCTGAATAAAGTTTCAAGTCTAACTGTATGGGGAAATCTATGATGTGTGTCCAATCCACTCGCTACAACCCCCAACCCCCGATATTAAAACCCTACAAAAATGTTTTAGAAAATGATCGGAAGCTTCTGAAACACAAAATGAAGTTTGAGCGATTTTTATCAGCTGATACTGATCCGATTTTCAAAAACTTCAAAGCTTTTCCGTCCTTGGCAAAGTAGTAGTCTTGTGTGAAAATTTCGTAAAAATCCGACCTTCCAAGTTATAGACTGGCCAAGGATTAGTCGACCTACAGACAAAAAGGAGATGATTTGGTTTTTCGAGATGTACATGTCATGAAACATCTAAAAACCATATCCCATTTTCGCGATCACTTCTTCGCCAGTGGCGAATGAAGTAAAAGTTGACTTCTGAATACAATCAAATCTAATAGATGAAAGGGAACTTGAAAAACAGGCCTTAATTGTACTCTCTATACACCTCTATTCCAGAAAACATGGAACCATTGTCTTAAATATATTTAAGCATCATTTGAAAGATCCCCTCCTACATAAATGAGCGTCTTTTGTGTATATGTACTAGAAGATTTATATTTCAAATTCAAATTGCATCACAAAATTTCGTTCCTATGTACATTTTTTTGTGGTCAAGTGAAATAATAACTAATAAAGACGATTAATTTCAGAAAAGTTGTAGTTTCAAAATATGTTAAAATTCTAAAGAATTACCATCCAAAAATAGTATGAAGTGGGATATGCTAATCAATGACTGAAGATACCCTAATAGGCACTAGAAAAGCCAAAAATGGATTGGAGATCCAATCGCTGTTTATTAGACAATAGCAGAATCAAACGCTCCAATTCTTTTCAGAGTAGATTTCTGATTTCATTTTTGTGTTCTGCTACTGTCGCATAGATAGTGCTAGTATCATTTAGATCCCTTTTTAGACGCCGAAATACAGTATATTGGTGGCGATCCAAGTAGAACATGTTAATTAATGCTAATACTTCAGTATCAATACTGATTTATTTTGAATTTTTACAAATAAACATCTTTTTTCAATTATAGATCCATAAGATAATTGGATTTGCCCCATCACTGCTTCAAGTGGTGATGATGGCCGACCTGGACATGCCGGTCAGACAGGCAGGCGCCATCTATCTGAAGAATCTGATATCCACCAACTGGCAAGACAGGGAAAGTGAACAAGGCCAGCCTATGCCATTTGCCATCCATGAGCAAGATAGGGCACTCATAAGGGACAGTATTGGTGAGTTGAAGGTGGAATAAAAAGAATAATTTTTTGAAGATCTGAGCACCTAATATTTAAGAGACATGTGAATGAATTTTACCACTTGAGTAATTGCCTCCCAGAGAATCTGACTCTCTGGCCGCAAGGTATACGTCGTAATTAACGGTTTCTCCCCTTCATCCTACAACGTCTACACGGGTGTTCCCCAAGGATCGGTCTTGGCTCCGACATTGTTCCTGTCACATATCAATGACCTCCTTTCCTGTATGTTCAATCCAATCCATAGCTTTGCTGATGACAGCACTCTGTAAGCAGAAATTCAGAGTGACAAGCTGATTTCTGCCAGTGAGCTGGAGAAAAGAAGACTATCAGCAACTTCCTCTCTGATGAGATGGCGGTTATCATTGCTTAGGGACACAACAACCTTGTACAGTTTAACACTACTAAAACACATCATTGTACTTTCGAGGACTTGATCTACCACGAACATATCTTGTCAATAGCGGCATATGCCGGAAAAAAGCTAGGCTATTTTTTTAGGGCTAAATGGTACTTTTCTCCACATGACCTCGTCAGTCTGTACAAGGCCCATAGACGACTTAGCCTCAAGTATTGCTCAAGTGTTTGGGGTGCTGCCGCCCCGACTACATTATCAATCGCCAGTAGACTTTGCTCCTCAGAACTCTCCTTCATGATGTCACCGCGCGATGTGCCTGCCAGACAGACTCGCCTGACTTCGACCTCCCATCCTAACCTTGTCGAACTTCCTACATCCACTTCAAACTCGCCGATACGACCGCTCCTGTGTCCCTAGGGTATCGACCTTGTGGAACAATCTACATGAGGAGGCTTTTCCCAGTTTTACTTACCTTGAACGGTTCAGAAATAATCGGATTAATGAAGTTTCTTTAAGCTCCCCATAGCAGCCGCGCTGCCCTAGTATTTAGGCTTATGCTTGCGAGGCTGCTTCCATGTAAAAAAATCCTTCTGATGTCCATATACTTTCTATTCCTGTGCAACTTTTAACTTGGCAAAATTATTAATTTAATATATTTAATTTTGTTGCATTTGAGCATATGATAATTTGCTATCACATATTGGATAAAAATTAACAAAAGAAACTAATTGTTCAATCATTCTAATCTCAATGATCAAGATGATAATAATAATAATAATAATAGCGTTTATTTGCAGTTAAAAAGTTACATAGGATACAAAATAGGGAAAAAGAACGAATTACACTTACAGCAAAATGAACCAGCAAAGTACACTGGCCCAGTGACAAAACAAAACAGCGAGCGCTTTTGTATAGCCGTCTACGGATAATAGAATTTTAACCAAATCATTTCAAAATCACGAAAACGCAACTATTGTTGCCCCAAAAGAAATTTCTTAAAATTTCTTTTGAAAGCTGACACCGGCTTGGCGGGGGCGTAACATTCTCAATTAATATGGCGGGAGGGCGCATATTTAATCCTTTCCCTCAGGGCGCACAAAAGCATGAAGCCGGCCCTGAACGTGTATCTAATATATTGAAAATTCTCAGATAGTAATGTGCTCACTTAAAATCTATTTTTTCATGTTTAATATCAATTTGTTGGAATTTATACACTGTTATTGGAAAGTATCTATAAATATTTCCAGTTGAACTTGGAATCTGGCTTCTGCACACTAACATTTGTGGAGTGTTATCATCACGACAACTGTTTATTTTATCTAATTTTATTTCAGTTCTTTCATGTCGCACACTTCACGTGGCTTTAAAACACACTCATTTGCAAGACTATGAAACTGAACGATATGGAATGCCCATTTGGTTTTTTATTTGAAAACCTTGTCTGTTTTTTTGTTTCGCACACACACACGCACGCACCTACACACAAATATTAAAACTATGAATCCAACTTCATGGCAAGGTGTAAGCCCGTATTTATGTGGCATGATGGTATCATCCGTCGCAAAGGCACATCTTTCTGACTATATTTAAAGAAACAGACATCAGACATGTCGAGCGTGAAACATTGCCTACGTCAATACGAATAATATACAGTGTTCCAAAGGTCCCAGAACTACAAGATATTTGGAAATATGCAAGGGCTATGGTAGAAGTAGTGTGATGACATGGATTTTGACCTTAGCTATGACCTTGGCGATCAAATGGATTTCAAGACGATTTTTTAAAGTGACATCCTATTCTTTTGACCCCGTAAATGGATAGGGCGGAGAATTTTACGTTAAGGCATGACCTTATTTATTATTTTGATTGTGAATGGCCTAGTCAAGGTCATCGTAAAACCCTGTTTGAAAAGATTTCAGCGATCTTCCAAAAGATAAAGCAGAAATAAAAACCCAAAGATAGCAAAATCTTCAACTTTTCTGTAGCTCTTCGCGAAGGACCTTGACACTGTACGTGATAAAGCAGAAATAAAAACCCAAAGATAGCAAAATCTTCAACTTTTCTGTAGCTCTTCGCGAAGGACCTTGACACTGTACGTGACCTTGACACTGTACGTGACCTTGACACTGTACGTGACCTTGACACTGTACGTGACCTTGACACTGTACGTGACCTTGACACTGTACGTGACCTTGACGCTGTACGTGACCTTGACGCTGAACGTGACCTTGACGCTGTACGTGACCTTGACGCTGTACGTGACCTTGACGCTGTACGTGACCTTGACGCTGTACGTGACCTTGACGCTGTACGTGACCTTGACGCTGTACGTGACCTTGACGCTGTACGTGACCTTGACGCTGTACGTGACCTTGACGCTGTACGTGACCTTGACGCTGTACGTGACCTTGACGCTGTACGTGACCTTGACGCTGTACGTGACCTTGACGCTGTACGTGACCTTGACGCTGTACGTGACCTTGACGCTGTACGTGACCTTGACGCTGTACGTGACCTTGACGCTGTACGTGACCTTGACGCTGTACGTGACCTTGACACTGTACGTGACCTTGACGCTGTACGTGACCTTGACACTGTACGTGACCTTGACACTGTACGTGACCTTGACGCTGTACGTGACCTTGACGCTGTACGTGACCTTGACGCTGTACGTGACCTTGACGCTGTACGTGACCTTGACGCTGTACGTGACCTTGACGCTGTACGTGACCTTGACGCTGTACGTGACCTTGACGCTGTACGTGACCTTGACACTGTACGTGACCTTGACGCTGTACGTGACCTTGACACTGTACGTGACCTTGACACTGTACGTGACCTTGACACTGTACGTGACCTTGACACTGTACGTGACCTTGACACTGTACGTGACCTTGACACTGTACGTGACCTTGACACTGTACGTGACCTTGGCACTGTACGTGACCTTGACACTGTACGTGACCTTGGCACTGTACGTGACCTTGGCACTGTACGTGACCTTGGCACTGTACGTGACCTTGGCACTGTACGTGACCTTGGCACTGTACGTGACCTTGACACTGTACGTGAGCTTGACGAGTTGAAACAATGTCGAGAATTTTGTTCAATGGGACTCTGTTCATTTGCCCCTGGAAGTGAATACATCGAAATGTTTCACGTTCAGATATGACCTTGAGGGCCATCGTAAAAAAGATTGATAAGATTTCAAGAATGTTGCTAAAGACAACGCATGAATAAGAACCCGAATGCAACAGGTGCTTAAAAATTTAGTTGGCTATTCACTGATGACCTTGAAACTAACATTGACCATTACCTAGAAGTTCAAAACAACTTCATGTCGATCTTTTGCCCGATACCCCATACTTTTGACCGCAAAAAAGACGGAAAGCCTTGCGTTCAGACAGGGCATTTATCTTCATTTCGCTGTCAAAGTAATGATAAAGGTCAGATTCTAGGTCACCAGTGAATGTCTAGGGAAAATTTTAAGCCCCAGCTGTTTTTGACCAGGACGTTCGAGGTCGAAATAATGGTCACTCATATCTCATATTTAAACGTAAAACTTTCCGCTCTATTGATTACCGGGGTCAAAAGTATAATGTCCCATTGAAAAAATCGTCTTGACCCTGATTTAACCTCCAAGGTCATTGTTATTCAAGGTCACCACTGGATAACTGGGGAAAAATCCTATAATCCGTCTATTTTACTTTTATGATACCCCTTGAATATTGGACTTTGGATCACCCTGTATAACGTGTAAGATAATGAAAATAATTTTTTTTCTTTTTTTTCTACACAGTTGAAGCTGTCGTCCATGCTCCAGATCTAATAAGAACACAACTGTGTACTGCAGTTAATCACGTTGTAAAACATGACTTTCCTGGAAGATGGACGCAAATCGTTGATAAGGTAAATTGTATTTGTTAATTTCGTGTACAGGTACAGAGACATATGATCTGCTTAAATATTTTTCCCTATCAAAAGAAGTATAAACCCCCTCAAAACTATTTATAGTTTCATCGTCTCAGAGCGTTTGGCATGGGCGAAAATCAATACACTTTACAAAGTAAACATTCGATAATTTGATCCCGTAAGCGTCATCCAGAAATACATTGAAGCTGACTTCATCCTGGGGGTGCATTTTCTGGAAAAATAATATCGAATATCCTTGTTCTCTTAATAATGAGTTTATGCTGCAGTCACATTCACAGCTAAAGATTTGCTGAATGGCAATTGAAATAGGAATAGAATACAGGGTGTTACAGAATGTTGTCAGGAAGATTGAAAGGCAGATTCAGTGCATGCATCTCCCTGTTCGTCTGTGATAGTTCGCCTTGCATTTCTTAGACAACTTCAGATATTGAGATGAATTTTGTTACACGTTTTCTAAAGCACTTAGTTCAGTGGCGACCGGCAAATTTTGAAAAAATCAGCGATACCCGAGGGTCGAAAATATTTTTCCAACATACCAAGTTTTAAGGATAAATGTACGGTGGTGGACTTTCAAAAACTATAAAGCTTTTTCGTCATTTACACACTAGTAATCTTGTGTGAAAATTTCGCCAAAATCTAACCGATACTTTCCAAATTATAGCGGGATTAAGGATTAGCGGCCTGGCAAAGAGACGGTCGAACTGAATGACATGTTTTTTGTGATGTTCATGTCATCTTACATTAAAAAACTGTATCTCATTTTTGAAATTTATCCCGGGTACAATACTCACTCGCCAGTGAGGTAGGAAGTAAAAACAGCACCCTACTTGTATTTGCAAATAATTAATATGAGTATCTTAAAGCTAAATTATTGATACTTGAAAACTGACTGATGGGGTTTTTGTTCGGACACACCGTCGACATTTTACTCCCCACGCCACTGTTGGTTTGCGTGACAATTCAAATTGAATTAACTACCGCCATGTTGAATCAAATATGGCGGATGTATAAACCGGCGATTCATAATTTCCATAGTGTCCCTTGTCATATTGGTGTCTTATTAAAGGGCTTGATCAGAAAGACACAATATACATAGTGACGTCATTCTAAAAATCCAATATGGCGACTTCACCGAGATGACATTTATAATTACCATAGTAACCAATATGATTTAGATATCCAATGGAAGGGCCTGATGAAGGAAACACAATAAGCAAAGCTTCGTAAATCCAATATGGTGGCTTCTGCTGAATGGCGATTTATAATTTCCATGGGTATTAAAGGAAAGAATAAGAGAAACACGAAATTCCATAAGTCGATCTCCGCTAAATATCGATTCATTTATCGAAATTTTATAACACAAAGTAAGTTGCTTGATGGAGTATATGTATATGAAAACTATATAGAAATTACCAAACTAGGTATTTGACTTCATAAATAAGTAAAAAATAAATACAATTAAAATATACATTATAAAAACAAGCTTTTATTTAGCTGAAATGAACTAAAAATTTAAAAATATTTTTTTCCGGTTTTCAAATGAATGCGTGTTACGTTACCGTTTGACAGCTGGATTTAAACAGGGAAAGTGCGTTCGGATTTTGATGTAATTTTGACACAAGGTTATGACTGTGCCAAGTGGAAGGGCTTTATATTTTTTGAATATAATCCTTTATTCTACAAAAACGAACTATTAGATATATAACTAAAATCGATCCTAGAGCTATATGCAAGCTTTTATTTGTAAATCTTAAAATAATGACTGCAGTAACATTTATCATTTTTGAAACGGCAACTCTAATTTTAAAAAATAAACCTTTTGAAATATTAAATATAAGCTACAATAGTAGACGAAAACAAAATCTTACATTAGTAGTAGCTAAATCAACACTCAAGACTCAATCATTTATAATGGTCTGAAAATTTACATGTGTCTTCCTAATGCTATCAAAAGAATCAACAATTCAAAGATATTCCGCCGTAAACTTAAAAACCTTTTAATATGTAAACCATATTATATATACCATGTGTGAGTTCTGCAGTTCACCTACTTAAGATCCACATATGTATTGTGTTATAGTTAGTTCTAAGTTAGCTTTCTCATTAAGAATGATTGTATTCTTCAAATAATAGACCATATTTATCTCTCTATCTATATGAACTTATGGCTGCTTTCCAATGGAAGTGCAGTACCAACCCACTTAATGCCATTTTTTTTTTAACGAACATAACTGAAAAACTCCAGAAGATATTGTTTAAGCAGATTCAGTTTGGCTTTGGAAAAGCGCTATTAATTTTTCTGGACTTACAGTAATGGACAAAAGTATATAGACAAATATAAATATTTACCTAAATACCTTTAGAGAACGAATTCATACTTCATTGCTCCATAAACAAATGCGTTATTAGGAGAAAAACTAAATTCCTTGTTTTTACATTATCTGCAATGAACACAATACAAGTCTGAATATAAGCACTTTTTTATGAGGGACAAAAATATGTAGACAAATTCTTTTCAACATTAGTTTAGTACAGTTTCGTGTCAGGAGAGGATTAGTTTGTGTCCAGAAATCTCTTTCGATGTGAAAACTAAGATCATTGAGTTATACAAAGATGGTCAACGTCAAGTCGACATTGCCAAAAATTTGAAGCTGAAGCGTAAAGCAGTTTGGGCAATATTGAACATATAAAAACAAAAAGGTATCTTGGAAGCCCGTTAGAGAAGTGGTCGGCCTAGAAATCTAAATGCTAGATCAGTTAGATTAATAAAAGTTATTTCGTCCAAAGATCCGTTTAAAACCCATAAAAATATAAAGCCGAAATCGAGACAAAAGGAATTGTCAGTGTTTCTACGAAAACTATAAGTAGAAGATTAAATGATTTGAAGTTATTTGGACGTCGCCCGAGTAAGAAGCCGCTAATCTCGAGGAAAAACCGTAAGGTCCGATTACAATTTGCACGGTTGCATCTTGATTGCAGCATCTGTGACTGGAAGAGGGTATGTTTCAGTGACGAATCCAAGTTCAATATGTTTGGATCAGATGGTGTTCATTACGTTAGACGTCCTAGTGGACAAAGATTGAACCCCAAGTACACTTTGCCCACTGTCAAACATGGAGGCTGGTCTGTTATGGTTTGGGGGTGCTTTTCGGGGTTTGGGATGGGACCTTTACATAGAATAGATGGTATTATGGATAAGTTTGTATACACAGACATACTAAAGCATGTCATGTTACCGTATATGGAAACAATATGCCCTTAAGATCAATCTTCCAGCAAGATAATGACCCGAAGCACACTTCACAAAGAAATTCTGTCTGGATGAAAAAATATCAGTTCTCAAATGGCCTCCACAGTCTCCCGATATAAATCCCATTGAAAATCTATGGGAATACTTAGATAAGCAAATACGAGATAAAAATTATTCAAACAAGGATGAACTTTTTGTCGCTTTAGAGTAAAAGTGGAGACATATTATATCATATATACAGATTATATCAAAAAACTTCTACAATCTATGCCGAGACGATGTCAGGCGATGATTGATAATAATGGTCATGCTACAAAATATTAAAACAAACATGGTTGGTTTTCTATAATTCGATGAACTTTGCTTCTTTTTTCTATAATTGTTTTGCTTTGTCTATATATTTTTGTCCTTCATAGTTCCAGTTTTTTCAATTAATTTTTTATTGAAGGGAGTCTAATGAATTTATTTATGTATAAGTGAGCATTATGCTATAACGAATTATGTATACAGGTTGGTGTATTAATAAAACACGTTAAAAAAGAAATACAGCACAATATTAATTTGTCTATATACTTTCGACCATTAGTGTATGTTTTCACGTGCTGAATCTGCCCTCACCATGTACATCTGACCTGCCATTTTTCCAGATCAGCATATACCTTTCAAGCCCCGACCCAGACGGCTGGCACGGAGCCATTCTCTGTCTCTACCAACTAGTAAAGAACTTCGAGTATAAGAAAGCGGAAGAACGTGCCCCCCTTCACGAAGCCATGAATCTGCTTCTGCCATTGCTTTACGCCCTCGAAGAGCGTCTGTTGACCGACAACTCGGAGAAGGCGGCGCTGTTGCAGAAGGACGGGCTGAAGGTTTACTTTGCTCTCACACAGTACGTGTTGCCGTTGGATTTGATCAGCAAGGAAGCGTTCGCTAGGTGGATGGAGGTTTGCAGACAGGTGAGTGTTATTTCAAGTCATACAATTTGAAGTAATCGTAAGAGATAAAAGCAGTGGCCATTCAAAAATATGTGTTAAATGGGAATCGACCAACGAATTCAGACTAGGTAGGAGGAGTCAGTCAGGGATTTGTTTGATCATAATTCTCATAGTCTGTAGTGAGGATCAAAGTGCACTTGGCATAAGTTAATTCTTTGACATATCTGTCATTGATTCATATCTTTAATGTTATTTCTTAAAAGTGAGAGCGTTTGCGTGTTAGACGATTTCAAGATGTAGAAAGTAAGTAATTTTCAATTTCTTCTGTGGTGATAAAAATTTTCAAATTTCTACGCCACTGGTGTAACCTCTCGTAAATTTTTTGAGGCTGCACTGTCAATACATGTACATTTTACTTTGATATAATGATTTCAAAATTATCTACGTTAGTAAGGGGACGTTTTTGGGCCCATGTTTAATTGAATTTTCATATTATTTTTTGATCTACTTTATGGACTAGAAATATTGCCACTGTTTTCTGAATTACCCTGTTTTTCTTTTTTTTTTTTTTTAATCTGTAAAGGTTCCACGAAAATTCATTCAGTGGAACTGGGTTTCAAGGCTTTGATTTTATTACTTCCTACGCCTCTGAGCGCGAAAATATTGTAATCATGGAAAAATTCGAAAAAACATATCACTAATTTCCGTTGGTCTGTCTGCCTAACAGTGTGTCTGCCCGCTAATTTTTTACCGCCAATAACTTGAAAAGTTTGGATGAAATTTTGACACAAGGTTATTGCTATTCCAAGGATGAAAACCTTTGTAGATTTAGTCATGGGTTTACACGCTGGACAACTCAACGAGCGCGCGCTTCTCTTCTTTGGGTGGCTAGGGACGACAGTCATGCGTTTTCGTGTATAGTATAACCCCGTGTTGGATTGCGACAATGCTGGATGGTCAGTACTGTTGGTCTGATGTATGATCCTCTTAATTTCTTTGTTGTACATGTTTGTAACCAATGTTTTTTCTAAGAGGCACTAACTTGTGCCGAATATAATCCCTTATGACAGCGTTGCATAGGAAGTGAGGGGTCAACCTACTTGCCGCCATACTGTCTTACGGTGCTCCACTGTCTAATAATATGTTTTCTCCAAAAGGTCGTAGAAAGGCCAGTTCCAGCAGCAGCTCTTCAGCCAGATGAAGATGAAAGACCAGATCTGCCGTGGTGGAAATGTAAAAAATGGGCGCTCCACATACTCTATCGAATGTTCGAACGATATGGCTCGCCAGGTCACGTCACCAAGGAGTACAATGACTTTGCTGAATGGTACCTACAAACGTTCAGCCAAGGAATATTAGAAGTTTTACTCAGGTGAATAATATTCTATAGTTCTTTCGGTTGAGGTAAAAATTGATACAAAAATTCATAAAGTACTATGAAGGGGCACAAAACATACGGAATTTGAATATCGGTCAATTTTAATGAAATGAGCGCAAAGCCCATAAATGCTTTCTATTTGAGATACGAGGTGTCAAATGTTGAAGTCTGTGGGCACGTTTACCTGCACAATTTTACAATCTCGCGATCATGAATAATTCATATCGGAAAAGTACTTACTGGCAATACATATAAAACGGCCCTATTGTGATGCCCTTACGCCATTTGTGTAGAGGTGAGGCTCTTGTAAAAAAAACGTGATTATGGATTATTCCTACCAGACAATTTTCTAGCTGTACATTGCAAAAATTCTCACTGATCAATACGTAAAAAACGATCTTATTGTCTTCCCCTTCTGTAGGGGTGGGTAGACACTCCAAAGTGTTGATCTCTTCCAAACAGATCTCGATCCTGGATTATTCCTAGCTAAAAATTAAAGGGAATCTTTATCTCTTTATGCCATTTTCGAAGGGGCCAGAGGTCAAGGCATTATTGTTTGACAGCCTGTATTCAAATGTCTTAATATCCATATGTTTTGTTCGATGAGTTTGCTTATCATTTTCTTTTCTTTTTAAAAATAACATGTCTGGTTTCAAATAAATGAATCACTGCAAAAAACGAACTTTTTTACTTACAGAGTTCTTGACGGTTATCGAGGAGGCCATTGGGTGCCCCCAAGGGTCCTTCAGCAGACTTTGAACTATCTGAATCAAGCGGTGTTACACGCTCATACGTGGAAGATTTTGAAACCGCACATGCCAGCTATCATACAAGACGTACTATTTCCTCTCATGAGCTACTCTGCTGATGATCATGAGTTGTGGACCATGGATCCACATGACTACATAAGGGTTAAATTTGGTGAGTTCTTACATCATGTCATTAAGTTGACTTGATATCGTTTGATTTTTCACGATATAGATTTTATAGAGGGAGGAAATTTCAAAATGTCTAAAATGCCTTTTTGAGCATTTTTGCGGTTCCTATAGATTTATAGATCAATACAAGATGAAGCAAAGCCAGTTCATCAGGATGTCCACGGACTGCTACTAGTTTTTACACATTTTTTTCTAAAATGCTCATATTCTCATTATTTTGATATATTTCACAATCTTCAAATCGATAAAAAGGGTATGCAAACGTTATTTACATCTATATTTATGAGAAAATACTTGATGAAAAAATATTTTTTGAACCTGGCCTTTTTTCATAATAAATATATTTTAGCACCTCAAAATTACCATTCTTGCAATTTCTGACATTGTATTTAACACCAATAAAAAAACATCCGATTATTACAATTTTGCTCTGTGTTGTCTGCAAAACTTGATCATATTTTCCCCCATTTAAGATGTTTTCGAAGACTTCGTTTCGCCGGTGACAGCTGCCCAGAACCTCCTACATTCATCGTGCAAGAAACGCAAGGAGATGCTACAGAAAACGATGATAATGCTCACGCAGATATTGACAAATAGTGCTACCGAGCCACCTCAGAAAGATGGAGCTCTCCACATGGTGGGCTCGCTTGCAGATATACTTTTGAAAAAACCAATGTATAGGTAAAGTCTGAGAATTATTTTCCTTGTATTTTAGTTCACAATTTCCACGCGGATTGTTACCTGGGATCGATTTTCGCTCCTAGCATTCTTGGTAAAAGAATTTCACGTTAAATTGAACAACTTTTTTCATTATAATCATCCATGAGAGTTTGAAAAATATTAAAATTCCTTTTGGACGCACCTTTCTTTCTTGTATCCAACTTTACCGGGGAATTACGACATAAAATTATTAAAAGCCACTGATTAAAAGAAAAAACGTCGAAAACATTTTAGCCAAAAACTAGTGTACCCGGGCCTCCCAGGGTAATTCCCTTAATAATTTTAAACAACAAGGGGTATCGAGTGTGTTTGAAAGGATTTTTTAAGTACTTTATTTTGACGTTTGATTTTTTTAAAATCGGTCCATTCGTTTTCAAGAAAATTATAAAAATCTTTATTTATCTTAATTTATTCAGATAGAATACAAATACATACGAAAATATCTCTTTTTATTTCAATAAGTGTTCAAAATGTTGCCCGTTATTGGCCAAAGGCGATGTTCAAATTCCTGACGGACATTTTCAAAAACTTGCAATATGTTCATTTTGGATGGATGAAATTTATGGACTTTAGTAACTCTGTGTACATAGCCTAATGAATTACCAGTCGCAGCGACAATTTTGGATAATGTAGTATTAGGATTTATTCCAAAATGACCCAAAACTTCAACTTGAGCGCCTTCATCCAAAACTCTCCGATGATCACGTTTTTTTTTATACTCCCAACTACCACGAAGGCCTAAGGTCTAAACACCCATTGGGTACCGTGGGGCTATAGGGGGATACACGGGAAAGGGGGAACGCCACACGGACTCTGGCGAGGGAACACGTGTGCATGCAACATGCACACATTCCGCCTACGAGATCCGCCGGGTGGTACCTCCACGTTCGACAGTCAGAGACCGTCTACCACCTACGGACAATCACAACATCTATAGCCAAGAGAAAATTTTCTCCTGGGACGGGACTCGAACCCGCACAGCGCACGGCGACTGATCAGGAGACCGAAGAGTCTACTACTGCGGCCACCGCTGCTGCCTGCAACAGATCCAGTTTGAGTAAATTTAGTAACAAGGTCCAAAACATACCTAAGCGAAATTATCTTCCCCGGATGTCTGGTGCAGTTTGCCGAGCACATTGATTTTGGGCACCATAAATTTTCATTTCCACTCTTTCGGCTAGTGTGTAAACCATTTTGGATGTAAAATCTGAATCAATAAATTAATTTTCACTATCCCAAGATTATCACAAATGTAACTGACAGCAAATTGTATTATTTCGTTCCCTTAGCAACAAATAACTAAACATGTATAACAATAAATACAGTTCGCCCAGGATATTTGTGTTGATGAAAATAATGCGGAAAAAATTCTGGTTGTTATTTGGATTTTGGCACGTCTAATCTTCCGACTTGCTGCTTATGTTCCTAGTTTTCGTTTTAAATTATAAACGATTTGTAGATTTGGCAAACCCTAACGGGCAACATTTTGAAAACTTATTTAAATTAAAAGTGATATTTTCGTGTGTTCTTGTTTTCTATCTGAACAAATTAAGACAAACAAAGGTTTTTCTAATTTTCTCTACAACGAATCCACTGATTTAAAAAAAGCAAACGTCAATTTAAAGGTCTTCGAAAGACCTTTCAAACAAGCTATTACTCGATACCCCTTGACATTTTAAATTTTTAAGGGGATGACCCTGGGGGGCAGAGGGTAAAAGGGGGTGAAGTAATTTTTGGTTAAAAAGTTGTCGCACTTGACAAATCTTTTGACGTGTCTCGGCGTTTTTTCTTTTAATCAGTGGTTTCCGATAAATCAAATATATACTTGATATTAATGAGTAACGATCATGAATTATAATTCTCAAGTTTTCCTTTTCTCTTTCAGGGACCAATTAGATCAGTTTTTCACAAAGTACGTATTTCCCGAATTCAGTAGTGATCGAGGACACATGAGAGCTAGAGCATGTTGGGTGTTGCACTTTTTCGCCGAATTTAGCTTCAAACAAGAGGATGTGCTAGTCGAAGCGGTCAATTTAACGGTATGTTCTATCATTATTCGCTCATCTAACCAGGTTTGCCCTTTATTTTCGAAATCCTACTCATATATGGTGTGATGTAATCACTGACGACTAAAAAATACAGACCTTTTATTCGGATTTTTGCAGACATCTCGGAAATGTCATGTTGCATGTCCCTCAATGGAGGCAAGTGAATCTACGAAAATGCTTTCTATCTATACTTGGAATTCAGTAGCTATTATTGAGCTAACAACGGACAAAGGTGTTCATATTATGTACTTAATAATTTATCTTCCATGACGTGATGAAAAAAATTTAATATCTTTAGAAAAATGCAATATGACAACTAGTCGGACGACTCTGAAGCCGCAACAATCGACAACGTCGCATACGTAGTAATAAATAAGATGCATAAATGCTCTTTCCATAATACCAATGTGTTATGTGAGTTTTCGTGTTGATGAACTTGTCATTTGAATTTTCTTCATTTTCATCCGCGGTGATTTTTTTGGAGTCTTTGGGAAATTAATAATGGTGGGGCACTGCGATATATGTATAGCTACAAGGCGAAAGATCTTGTTTCGTTTCATAGGTAAGTATAGGTTATGTTTATTTTCACTTTCCAGTGGCGTGGTTGTTAATCTCAAACCGTAAAAGTTTTTACTTTAATGCTTTTCGACTCCGAGTTTTGCAGAATGTTCACTTTATAAATGTAATTTAATTCTTTTTTATTTATGAACAGCATAGTAGGCCCCTTTTTAGTTATACCCAAGTTCCTCAAATATTTATTTCTATATTATTTTCATTTTCACCTGATCCATATTGTAATTATAATTGAACAACAAATAAATATCATTATTATTACTGAAAATTTCATATTTTCTATGCAATGCATACTTTTGGTGCCACATAATGTGCTACAATTTATTCTCTTTATACCTCTTAATACTTCTGAACTGTACATTTTGATACTATCAATCAAATTAAGCACCTTTAGTAGCAGCAAGATACATTTTTAATTCATTTTCGAGAAATTTCAGGTCTTCAATTGAGGCTATTCGATCAGTAGTGCTTGTAAACTTGACGTTTTTCTTTTTTTTTTCCACCAAGATGCTGAGAATCCTATACAAATGAGAGCTGCTTGATCTAACATATAAACTTTTTTCGCTAGTAACTAATGAAATTGTCATTACTAACCACAATACCTTATTGAGAAGTAGCACTTCGCTCCAGAACGAAAAACAATATGAGGATTCAAAGTTATATGATTCTGTTTTTGTGTATCAAAACAAATTAACCTAAGAATTTATCACTTGATTTATAGGATGTATTGAAAAGTGATTTTTTTTGACATTATATTGATTTTTTGTGACATTGTGTAGGTTTTTGTAGAAGATGTTAACTTAGCACTAGCTGATGGACACGTTGTGAACTCGTTTTGTAGTTGTACGTGTTGCCTAAACGTCATGAGTCTTCAGTTATCAATGTTTGGCTCTGATGTGATGTAAAATCTGTTTCAGAGATGGCATTACTGGAGGTAACGGCAATGCATAGGTGCATAGTGAGGATTTGTGTGCTAATAACATGTGTTGATGATAGTTCCATTGGATTCTTGTCTCAAATACACTTACTTGAGATTCAAAGCTAGAAATTAGTTGCGCAAACACTTTTTCTTATTCATTGATTACATATGCAAATTTGCTGAAATTAAAAAATGAGAGATAAGAAATAATTATATTCACTGTACACTGTCGAATTACAAGTCATATACATGCTAACAGTAATTACACACAACGCGAGTGCGGTGATGATTTCCCATAATTCTCCTCAAAGTTTTTGAAAACAAAAAATCCTAATTTATAACTTTGAACAAAACGTGTTTTCAGAAAGGGCAACATATAAATAACCCGTCGGGCACAGCTAATATATATATACTTCAGAGATGAAAACTATAGACTACTCGGCTTCATAGAACGCGGAATGACTGCACCCTAAAAACTACCTAGTCTGCAAGATGACATTTTATAGTATTTTTTTTTACGTTTTATAGTTTTTTTACACAATACCCGTGCCCCACTTCCCCCTGGCCTTTCGACATGTCCGCAACAATTTTTTTATTTTATGATTGAATCAAGACGTCTATATTTTTTAGTAGTCGGTGGGTATAATGAAATAATCTGCTATTTGCTGATAGAAATCATTGAATGAAGATAAGATTGTACTTTGTCCAAAATCTACCTCTTTTGAAAAACGTGACTATTGTGAATGCCTGGCTCCGTTCATTTAAATTTTTCTTCATAGGTCCGCGCTCTGCTATTCGACAAAGAGCTCCCCGTAAAAGTAGAAGCAGCAATCGCGCTGCAATCTTTCCTGAACTATCAAGACCGCGCCCACAAGTATATCGAAGCCCAGGTGAAGGAAGTCGCCCTGGAGCTGTTGACCATTATCAGGGAAACTGAAAACGAAGACGTCACCGGCGTTATGCAGAAGTTAGTGTGCGTGTACACGCAGCAATTGGCGCCTATCGCGGTGGAGATATGCCAGCATCTAGCTGCTACTTTCAGCCAAGTATTGGACACTGATGAGGTATTTAAATATTGATTTTCCACATGCATAGCTAGAAAATTTCGGGTAACACCCGTGATTTAAACCGCGAACGCGAATCGAGAGAGAGGCGCCATTAGAATATTTGGCTATTACACGAGGCGCTGGACGGTCTTGAGTTTGCAAAATGTGAAAACCGCACTTTATGAACAGATATCAACTGAGAAAAGGTTAAACAACAATAATCCAGATCTTGCCGGGGCACTTTTTTGTCCATTTTTTAAACCCCTCCCCTCCTAAATAATTACAATAAAAATACTTTTCGCTAAATTTTTTTCTGATTTTTCGGATCGTTCTCAACAACAAAGGTCCCTAGTTAAGGTTGCGTAGTATCTAAATTAAAGCTGGAACCTTCCCCTACAAGACCTCGAAGAGTATATCGAGATTAATTTATTGTATAGCGATTTTTAAGCTAGTTATGCCAAAATTGGCAACCTTCGGATTTTCGCAGACTACATACCAGATTCATTAAGTTGACGCAGAAACCAATGTTTGTTTTTCTGCTTCACTTAACAACCTATCATCGCTTTAATTATAAATAAAAAAATTAAATGATAATAATCATTCGCTCCGTATTATGTACTCCATCTATTTTCTTTGTACTTAAGAAGGGGGAGGAGTAAAATAAATGGACCAAAAAGTGGACCGGCAAGATCCAGTTTATTGTTTTTTTACCTTTTCTCATTTGATATCTCTTCATACAGTGCAATCCTCACATGTTGAAAATTCAGTTCCATCCAGCGCCTGACAAAAGTAGCGACTTTTTACAAATTATTCAAAATGGCGATAACTCAAAAATCGTGCATAGTTGGATGACATACAGTAGCGGACAAAAGTTTGGAAACATTTTTAGTAATTTTTGAAGTGTGCTAATTTTTTTATTCTTTATTTTTGAGGGATATTTTTTTTCTCATATAGTTTGCTTACAGTCCTTGAGGATACAAACGACAGTTTGTGTTTGCTGTGGTACTACAGACTAGCATTAAAATGCCTTCATGTTACTTTATGACCGAAAATGATACGGCAAAACTATGGAAACATATTTTTTATTACAAAATTAAATACAATAACTCTACAAAAAAAATACTGTTCAGTTAATATTTGGTAGCTGCTGCTCGTATAAGATACCAATTTTTTACTGACGTCTGTTGGGATAGTTTGTAAAAAAAGTTTTTCTCGTAAAGTTATCTTTTAACATGCTCCCAGATGTTCTATAGGGTTCAGGTCTGGGGATTGCAAAGGCCATGTAAGAACATTAACATTTTTTAGTCTTGACCAGTCCTTTACGAATTTTGAGGTATGCTTGGCATCATTATCTTGCGGGAATGTCAGTCATAAAGGCATTTTTTCTTTAGCAAAAGGGAGCATGTGTTCACTAAGAATATCTTTGTATCGTTTTTCATCCATTGTCCCAACAATTTTAACAATTGGACCCGTTCCAGAACTAGGAAAACTGCCCCAAACCATGATGTTGCCTCCACCGTGATCAACTGTTGGCAACTGATACTTTTTGTCAAATCTTTTTCGTATTGGACGTCAACGTTTAATGTAGCCATCCAAAACATAATCGTTTTTTTTTTTTCGGCCTTCCGCACCTGGGCCGCGTTGCTGTTGATCCGTATTCTTGATATTTACGAATAATTTTCGAAATCGCCCCTTTGTTCATTTTTAATCTTTGAGAAATGTCAGTTCTGACACCACTTCTGAATAATTCAGTTACTCTGTCTCTTAGCTCTTTTGAAAATTCTTTTGCTTTTGTCATTTCCACTGATGTGAATATTTACCGCACGCAATATCAGAGTATCGCAGAACGAATAAATACGGCAAAACTGAAATGTTTCCATACTTTTTGTCGTTACAACAACCGTGGTATTTAAAAAAACGAGTGTTTTTATTGTCAGAAAATTTAAATATTGATAAGATAAACCTTGTATTAGTACGGGAGTCAAAGGTAGACTTTAATATTTATATTATCTGTTCCTTCTCAATTTTAATTTAGGTGTATGAAATAGTTCATAATAATGTTAATATTCGTTTCAAAACTTTTGTCCGCCACTGTATAAAGTCTTTTTTGATTGGAAATGATTCCCTATCACTACATTTCCATGGGACGCCCTGTATATTTAAACAAAACTGACAGTACACTTTGCTCTAAACAAAACATTGGCTTCGGCTTCAATTTAATGAAGGTGCTTTATACAGTCTGCGAAATTCAACAGCTAACGACTAGCTTATAAATAGCTTTAAAATAAATTAATATTTAACTTTGCGGTTTTCGAATTTTTTCGTGATTACATTTTCCATGCCAATTTTTGAGGAAGTAAAAATCATTACAAGGTGCTCAATAAAGTTTGTAATTTAACCGATTTAACTATCTTTTATTCTTGTCTGTTTTCGTTTATCCAGGGCTCGGATGAAAAAGCCATAACTGCGATGGGTCTGCTGAATACCATCGAAACCCTACTGACAGTAATGGATGAGCAACCAGAAGTGATGAGGATGCTCGAACCGACAGTACTTCAGGTGATAGCACACGTTTTACAAAACGAAGTCCAAGAGTTCTATGAGGAAGTGTTAGCGTTGATATACGATCTCACTAGTAAGGAAATCTCGCAAGATATGTGGAAAGTATTCGAGTTACTTTATCAGGTAAGGAGGTTCATTCCTAATTTGATGAATTTAAATTCTGTTTTCGAAATGTATAAAACTTGTAAAATTTTTATTACATCCAACGGTCATATGGAACTATTTTTTTATGGATCTAAGTTTGAAATATGTATTGATATATAGGAATATTAGACAAAGCCAAAATTTTAAATGGATACTGTGAGAGATTCAATAATTTATCACATTTGTATTCCGATCAAAACAGTCAACAAACATATTCGGCCGTGATCTTAAAAACATTCTAATAAATAAACCATTTATTTACTATTATCCACATATAATTAACTTTGACAATCAGAATCATGTTGTTCTTCATACAATAAAGCATATTAATCTACTATATGTATCTATCGATTGGAAGCGCCTCTTATTGCTGCCATATACTTCAGCATTGTAGATAAAACCTACTATCATTTTGCTGGGTGTTCTGGTGAGACTTAGGCTGTAGTCAATACATGCGTGGGCTATCCTTACTTCTCTACTAATATAAGTGCGAAAGTGTGTATGTATGTTTGTATGTATGTACTGTTGTTTACGCCAAAACGGCTGAACCGATTTTGATGAATTTAAGCGTAGATATAGATTAGACTTGGAGTATGCTACCTTTTTTACAAAAATGGAATTTGTTAGGTGCAGGTTAACCCTCTTGAGGCTCAAGAAGCTAGAATATTTCAAATTAAGTCAGACTAAATTAGAAGTTTGTTTCGTCTATATGAAATGAAAAACGCTAAACAAGGAATGTCAGAAATTATTCCTTAAGAATGCGGTAGGAGGTGGTGGAATATTTCAATGCTGAATTTTAGAACTTTTCAAGTTCAGTTTATAGAAATTTATCTCGAAAACTATTTGACCTAGAAACAACAAATTTAGTAGAAAGATACTTACACAACATGCCCAAAAGGGAGATTGTACAGGTTCGTATTTTCCTCTATGGTCTTGGAATAATCTAACAAAACAGATGATTATTTTAATAGAAAGAAGTGAATATACTTTTCACAATTCTTTATTAGCTGGAAGTACTTGGATCATTGTTCGAATGTTTAATATCAATTATTACAGGTTCAATCTAAATATCGGTGATATTGTCCAGATCCCACATCTATGTTTCGATTGTCTCTTGAATCACTCTATTGACAGCTTCATAAGATCATTTCATTGGGATTTAATTCGCAGTGATAAGGGGGTAGCCTTAAAACGGTCTTATTTTGGGTTTTAGCCATTTCGTCAATAACATTAAGATTATATTTATATTTGTGCTCCCTGGCTAGATGGATAAGCTCTGTTTTGATAGGAGATATTGTTGAATTTTTGCCTTTCTTGTGGACATTGTGGAAATTCCTTATAAAGTTCAATGACGGCATTGTCGTCAAGCTTTGGGACCGTTTCTTCAAAGCATCGTTCAAATGAACTCGTCCATTTCTGCATGGTAGACGGTCGTTTTCTTTGACGCCCATAGGGCAGTGGGTACAAAGCCATCTTCACTGCCAATGTGACAGATAACAAAACGTTTTTCTTTTCCTGGAAATAATTATTAAGAAAACTAATAATAATACAAGCAGAGTATCTAACAGGTGTTGGTTCCAAATCCACCAGATATAGCTATGTTCAGTGTAGCTAAATTTTCAGCTCGGGAGCAGTTAAAATGTAATCGCGTAAAGATGTTTACCAATTAATCACGAAATCTTGAAAACTATTTGATCTATGAATATGAAATTTGTTAGGAAGGTAGTTTATGAACGGGACACGTTAGCGAAGAACGAATTTTGTGGCAGGGTTGGATTAAGGGAGATATAAAAGAGAAAATCTCGAAATTTCCATATCTATGCACATTAAATTTCGGTAAGGAGGTAGTTCAAGGGCAGAACGTGACGGATTTTATGACATATATGAAAACGAAGGGAATGGGAAATTTATTCAGAATGATACCTTATGGACATAACGTGTCAGCTAAAAACGTTTTGAGACAGGGTCGGATTAAAGGGGCATTTACAAGTGTACGAAAGTGCTTTGCTTTTCTACTATTGATCTGGAATTTGGCAGGGAGGCAGTTTATAGAGATTAGACAGGGTTATATAGAGGTGGTGAAGGGTACTCGCGTGTTTGTTTGAAATTCCCTAGTTTTCTAGATACCTAAATTTGTCAATAATGAGTTAAGGGCTGTCACAATGTTATGCATATTTGCCTTTTGCAATTAGAGCCTGAGCAAGGTGTTTTTACATTGTAAAATTGTGTTTAATCTCATGTGCTAATTTCAAAATTTTAGTCATTTTAACAACTTTAAGCTTGAGTAAGTCGCGGGTAATAGATATTAGTTATATAAGTAGTGCAGATTATGCACTGAAAATGTTGCTTTTTGTTTTTCAGGTGTTTATGAAGAATGGTATAGATCATTTCACAGATATGATGCCACCACTTCATAATTATATCACTGTGGACACAGATGCTTTCCTTTCTAATGATAATAGGTTATTGGCTGTGTATACAATTTGTAAAGAAGTAAGCATAAACTAGTTTTTTTCAGTTTCCATTCAACATTCAATATAATGTCACTATATGATTGTACCATATTTCTGTCTGAGACTATATGACTATTAATTTGAATAATGTTTTAGATGTTAACGAAAGACGTAGGTGAAGACCCCGAAGCACATGCTGCAAAATTATTAGAAATAATACTATTGCAGTGCAGGGGTAGGATAAACCATGCAGCACCTATGATTGTAGAATTAGCAGCTACAAGACTATTAAGGGAAGTTAAAACTAGGTAAGTGTCAACAATTTTGACAGTTTTCCAACAAAATTCGGTTTCTCTGTCAACTTTTCGAAATAACTTTAATGAGATTCGTGAGTACATAACGCGATCATTGTCACTGTGACCTGTTGCCAATGACTAATTATAATTATTATTTTTTAGTGAACTGCGCACAATGTGCCTTCAAGTTTTAATAGCTGCACTATACTACGATCCTCAGCTGCTCTTCTCAGTTTTGCAGAAAATGCCAGACTTCACATCACATTTCATCAAACAATGGCTGCATGATGCTGACTGTTTCTTAGGAATTCACGATAGAAAAGTGAGTAACATATAATGCAGTGTTTATTGAAATTTTGAACTAGCATGTCATAAAATCAAGTTTTCAGATCTATCAAATACTCTTTTAGCTTCCTTTTAAAGATCTTTTCATTCATGACAGATTTGATGATGTTACGCAATTTGTTGTAAAGTTTAATGATCATGTAGTAGGGACCCTTCTCTTACAAGGTGTTTTGAGAATTATTATTTATAACGGGTTGGCCTTATTCGACGACAAGATGTTTTTTTTAAATCATAGGAAAAAAACACATTTTTTACTGTTTCAAAAATCGTTCATTTGGGTAAAAGGAGATTTGTGAACATCATTTTTTGAAGACGATATCTCTTAAATGACCGCCATAAGCCTGTACAGCGAAAAGTGCCCGTGATGCAGCATTTTCCATCGTTTTGGCTTGATGACATAAACCTTCGATTTCAAGTAGCCTCACGCCCATGGAATAATCGTTTCAAAAAATCGATAGTAGCTCGAGCTGTGCTCCATACCATTGTCACGAACAATTGGCATCAAAAAATCTGTTACCATATCGCGATAACGCTCCTGATTGACGGTAACCGCTTTGCCAGCTTCGTCTTCGAAAAAGAACGGCCCAGTGACCATACCACCACAAATAACGCACCAAACAGTCACTTTTTGGTCACAAAGAGGTACCTCGTGATTCATTTGAGGATTATAGATATAGAACCGACAATTTTGTTTGTTTACGGCTCCGGTTAACATGAAATGAGATTCATCGCTCATGATGATTTTTGCCAAAAATGATGGTCACTTTCAGCCATTTCGATGACTCTTTGGCCCCATTCCAATCGACGTGGCTTATCGGCATGTAACAGGTTTTGCGTCCGTTGAATTTTGTATGGGAACAAATGCAAATCATAACGCAATATGCGACGTAAAGTGGTTTGTTTTATGCCCAACTGCTCAGATCGACGTGTTTGAGATGTTATTGGAGACCTCTGAACACTGGTCCGTACGAGTGCGATATTTTCATCCGATCGCCTTGGTCGCTTTTTATTTGGACGCTTGGGATTAGTAAGTGCCTCACCTGATGAAAATCTTTCATACAAACGATACAATGTAGTCGCGGAAGGCGCAGTTTTCACTTTATTTATTTTTCTCCATGCACGTTGAGTTTTCACAATTGACTTGTTTTGTTGAATGTAAATTTCAACAATCTGAGAGCGTTCGCGTGGAGTGTACTGCTCCATTGCTTCAAACGCGCTACGTCATTACTCGATCTGTCATATCTGTCAAAAGTTACAGTGTTGCCACATCTTTTCGTCGAATATGGCCAACCCTATATATTATTTGTTCAAGTATTATAACTATTGAAAACAAAACAGTCTTATTAAAAACAGCTTCATAGATATGTACATTAATATTTTCTTTGATTTGAAGACTCCTCGACGGGACTGATATATGTAATTCTTAAAAATGCGCTTCTGCGTTTTGAAAATTTCTTGTACCAAGGAGCTGGATGCCCAAAAAATTATACCATATCTCATAGTGCTTTCAAAGTTTGCAAAATGCAATGTTGCATCGGACGAAAGAAAATAATGAAATCAAATTTGCTCAGAAATGAATGGAGATTTCCAAAATGGTTTTTATTTGAACAAAAGGTAGTGACGTGTATTTTTTAATCCAAATATATTCAGTGCAAAACCTGTCCTGACGCCACTGGTAGAAATAATAAAATTTTACATCAGAAAATGCAGCTTGATGCATAGGACATGTGTATCAAATTTCTTAAAGATATCTACAGTAGTATTCTAGTTATTATAAGAAACAGATGTCTTTTTGAAAACTGTACCTCCTTGTATCTCAAAAGTTAAGACATTTAGGACATATGTTCATATATTTTTTTCTTAAATGGATTCAAGAATCGCATCCTTGAATATTGACATGTCATTAAGCAACACCCTGTCTAGGGAACAAAATAGGTTTTTTCAAAATGAATTCAAAATATTATGTTAGTGAAGGTCTGGTTCAGTTGAGTGCCAGTTTTTTGTACTGTTATTATGATCCACGATGTTTACTTGCAGATATGTGTACTAGGCTTATGCGCATTGATATCAATGCGGGATAAACCGCCGGCGTTGATAGAAATGTCTGGCAAGGTAGTTCCCTCTTTAGTGATGCTTTTCGATGGCCTGAAGAGGGCGTATGCTGCTAAGGCCGCGGAAGCTGCGACTGAGGAGGAGGAAGATAGTGAAGAATCTGATGGAGGAGATGAAGCTGGTGAGTACTCTTTTATATGATAGGGGCAAGAAAAAATCTAGTTGTCACTAAGACTTTAGCCAATCTACTAACTAACCGAGTGAAAATAGTGAATAGTGAAATATATGAAGAAAAAAGCGTTCTAGCTTTACCTATCCAGCGCTCAACAATCAAACCAGGAACATGTCTGCAAGCATTAACGAAAAGTGTTAATGTCTCCCAAAGTCGAACAAAACGAAAATATATCTAAAACGCTATTAACCGAATTATAATTACGAGACATTATATAGATAGGAGAAAACTTAAGTATGGAAAGCCAATGGGTATATCCCAACCTCTTTCCTTGAAAGATATTTTAAACACTTTCTTTGAATGGACTCTAAGTGGTCAATATAAATTTGATGGTGATTATACCCGACCAGGGGTGCATACTCAAGCTTAGATCTTACATAAACATAGTGCAATATTTTCAGGGTAAAAAGAGTTATGGAAATAATTAGTATTTCTTTCAATAAAGCTATACGCCTTTGATGCAGTCACAACATTTTTTGTATGATATGAGAAGGAAAGTTTTCTGTCAAATGTGTCTCGCAACTTGTTAATTGTATTAGATCTGTCAGGTTTTCTGCCGCCAGCACTATATGCATACATCATTACTTCTGTTTTTAAGGTGAACTACAAAACATAACACTTAGCAGCATTCAAAGCCAATCTATTTTCACAAATTCGTTGATTGATACGGAACGGGAAAACTGCGCGTCGGTGATTATAATTGAAGCCTTTGGTGCAAAAAGGTGTTAACTCAGATCTTATACTCATAGTTTGAAGATAATTGGCCTCAAAGTTTAAATCCTGACATTTTTTATTAAATAGTGTTAGAGCTGCTTTTATTATTGAAAGATATAGACACATATAAAAGTATCTCGGATAGACAGTTTTGTTGAAAAAAATGGCTTTTATTATCAGAAATTTGAAAAAGATTGTTGAAAATCTGACTCATCACCTTTTTAAAGAAATGTTATTTGCTTGGTCCGGAAAATGAAAGTAGCAGAAAGGGGTATTCAATGATGTTATTTGTTAAACGTAAACATTGTTCTTTTTTCTTATTACAAACTCACAAAAGTAATAACAAATAATCCACACGCTGTAACTAAGCGTCTCCTCTTCTTAAATTTTGATAAATGCCTCGAAAAATTGCTGGTATGAAAGGAATTTGTTCGTGAATATTATCAAACTTTTTGGTCCCAATAGGTCGGCTTCTATCGACGTTCAATAATAATGGTTCATTTTCTACTCTTCTATCGATATTTCGCTGTTTTCTTATATCAACAATAGTCCAACTTTCCGCTTTTTTCATTCAAAAGAGTATCTGTACTTGGTTATCGTAGATTTTTCAATCTGGATCCATCTTACATCTCTGAATGAAAATTTCACATTAGTTCTGTTTTTTTGTCTATCGACCAGTTCAAGTTTACTTGGAAGTTCTTTAATATCAACAAATTTATCCGCCATTCTTGTGATATTAAACGGTGCTTTTTCCCTGGCTTCTGCCATGATTGAAATATATTGATCCACCATATAAATTAGTTGGTGCTTTCTAATCTCTATCAGAGTCCATGAAGGTATTTCCTACTTCAGGGACCTTATGGTCAATTTATTTTAACACTCCAGAGATTATTAGGTAGTTCCATAGACAGACATTATATTTTTTTTTTTCATTTTGGCCACCTGCTGAATCACTCCATGCAATCAGACGATCGGAAGCCGTGCCTTGGTCCTTGATATTTTCCAAACAGTTCATAAGTGAGCTGCCAATCTCTTCAGGACCGCGATTTCCTTGGTCTTCTGTCCAGACGTGGAAAAAACCTTCACCATTCGGTTGCTGTGTGGATATCAAATGTATTCCTAGTTGTAGAGCCACACTTGTATATAGAAGGCTTTACTTGTAGAAATGTTTGGCAAGCGAAGCGTTTTTTGTAAATTAAATGTGCAGTATATGATTTTTTCGTTTGTTTTTGCTATTTCTCGAACAAATTGTTGTACGTCAAAAGCCTTTTTATACTTTGCAACATGCTCCTCATTCGATCCTACATCGCAAACATTTCTACATTTTAAACGAAAACTTAATTAACTCTTTTGAGTTAACGTCTTTTTACCAATGATGCCTGAGTTAACACCTTTTAATGTTTACAGATTGAAGTTTTTGATATAGTTAACATTTTTATGAATCTCTGTATCTAAGAACTGAGAGCCATCTTTGGCCGGATAGGTGTACCATCAAAAAAGCACCCTAACACCTGTTTGCACTACAAATCTTAAATTCCGAAAAAATTGAGTTAACACCTTTTTGCACCAAAGTCTTCAATTGAGTTTTGAGCTAGTCAATCTCCGGTCTATTCAATATCCGTATGCGAGCAGACAGCGTTGGAGTGACTAATGTATTCTTTTCAGATGTATTGAGCTCCGACGAAGACGAACTCGACGACCAATCGCAAGATTACCTGGAGTCACTAACGCGTCGCGCCACAACCGCGTTGCAACAACGCGGCATGAATGCGACAGCAACGATAGAAGACGTAGACGATACGTCAGACGAAGATGACTCCGACTATGAGCCTGACGAGGAAACAGTGCTCGAATCGTACACCACCCCTTTAGATGAAGAAACCTGCGAAGTGGATGAGTACCAGGTGTTCAAGCAAGTTATGACAGGTAGGCACATAATAATAGGTGTCCTGATATTTGAATATTTTATTGATAGAATATTATTTCCCAGTAGTAATAATCTGTGACTATACTTGTTTGTCTTATACATTGTTTATTTATTGTTAGATATGCAAGTTGATGGATCCTATACATTCAATAAAAAATTAATTGAAAAAACTGGCACTATGAAGGACAATGACATCGTCTCGGCATAGATTGTAGAAGTTTCTTGATATAAGATTCATCAATCTGTCTCCACTTTTGATCTAAAGCGGCAAAAAGTTCATCCTTGTTTGAATAACATGACATGCTTTAGTATGTCTGTATATACAAACTTATCCATAATGCCACCTATTCTATGTAAAGGTCCCAAACCCCGAAAAGCACCCCCAAACCATAACAGACCCGCCTACATGTTTGACAGTGGGCAAAGTGTACTTGTACTCTTTCTCCACTAGGACGTCTAACGTAATGAACACCATCTGATCCAAACATATTGAACTTGGATTCGTCACTGAAACATACCCTCTTCCAGTCACAGATGCTCCAATCAAGAAGCATCCGTGCAAATTGTAATCGGTCGTTACGATTTTTCCTCGAGATTAGCGGCTTCTTACTCGGGCTAGGTGCAAATAACTTCAAATCATTTAATATTCTACTTATAGTTTTCGTAGAAACACTGGCAATTCCGATTTCGGCTTTTATTTGTCTTTATTTAGCTTTCTAGGCCGACTACTTCTCTTAGAGGCTTCCAAGATACCTTTTTGTTTATATTTGTTCAATATTGCCCAAACTGCTTTACGCTTCAGCTTCAAATTTTTGGGCAATGTCGACTTGAAGTTGACCATCTTTGTATAACTCAATGATCTTAGTTTTCACATGGAAAGAAATTTCTGGACCACGCGACATGGTCTTAAAATCACTCAACTTATTCCACAATACTTGATGAACACAAACTAATCCTCTTCTGACACGAAACTGTACTAAACTAATGTTGAAAAGAATTTGTCTACATATGTTTGTCCCTCATAAAAAAGTGCTTATATTCAGACTTGTATTGTGTTCATTGCAAATAATGTAAAAACAATGAATTTAGTTTTTCTACTAATAACGCATTTGTTTATGGAGCAATGAAGTATGAATTCGTTTTCTAAAAGTATTTAGGTAAATATTCATATTTGTCTATATACTTTTGTCCGTTACTGAATATCTCAATGCCTAAACGACGGTAAATGATTTGAATTTGAACTTAATGTCGTATTCAAACGCGTTGTTTTTAATGATTTGATCTAGAACATATTATGTTACTCACGTGTTCACGTTTTCCTGATGGCTCTCAATGTAATGTCAGCCGCCTTGCGAGAAATCTAACTCCGCACAATTCTTGTGGGATTCCTCAAGCATTGATTAACGTATTCTACCTGAAGATATCCAACCTAATGTTATATACCCGCGTCCAAAAATAATCCATTATAAAATGAGATGGTGTATGAGAATTTGTCACGTCAAAAGATCTGTCAAGGAGGACAACTTTTTAACCAAAAAATACTTTACCCCCTTTCACCCTCGGCCCCCAGGGTCATTCTCTTGAAAATTTTAAATGACAAGAGGCATCGAGTAATAGCTTGTTTGAAAGGTCTTTCTAAGTACTTTATTCTGACGTTTGCTTTTTTAAAATCATTCGATTCCTTTTCGAGAAAATTAGAAAAATCTTTATTTATTTTAATTTGTTCAGATAGAAAACAAAAATACACTAAAATACCACTTTTTATTTCAATAAGTGTTCAAAAAGCTACCCTTCAGGGTTTACCAAATCTACAATTCGTTTATAATTTAAAACGGAAATTACCAACATAAACAGCAATTCGGAAGATTAGACGTGGCAACAACTAAATAACAACCCGCATTGTTTTCATCAACACAGATCCTGGCGAACTGTATTCATTGTTATACCTGTTTAGTTATTTGTTGTTAAGAGAAAGAAACAATTTTAATTTGCTGTCAGTTACCTTTGTGATAATCTTGGGATAGTGAAAATCAATTCAATCATCGACGGATCCATCATAACTATGTCATTTGTCGATAGGGGGAATTTTGAAATATTATTAGATAATTATCTGTTATGGATACTCGAGAAGAAAACAATATATGCTATATGCTCATATAGACAGCGCCATCTGTGAGACACTAACCTTTTGAAAGTATATGTAGTAAATAGAAAAACAGCTGTGACAAATTCTCTCTGTGGTATCTCATTTTATGTCGCATACGTTAATCAGTGCTCTACTCAAACAATCATCGTCCGATTAACGACCAAAAGTGAAACATTTCTCTGGTTATTGGTGAAATTGAGCAACAATTGTGCCAAAATATTACTACAATACTCGTAACGTGCGTGTTGGCGTATTCCTGTACGATATACACAGACACGGTGGCACTACACAGTCATGAATTAATTAAAATGGCGATACTGTCTCTCTTACGGTTGCTACGTAGAATGACACTCTGTCTTCGAAAAAATTTAAATTTGTAGTAATGGGTAAAAGATCATCACAGGGTGTAGATCTTTCCGATTATTTTTTAAGCGTATATTTTGAAAAGCACAATGATTTTTTTATATTTTTCTGAACTATTGTGACTTGCCCTATCCCCCGTTTCCGGCTTGACGTCGACCTCTGTATAGTAATTTTTTCTCAGTTTATTAGTACAAATCGTACGAATAGGTATACTGGAATCTCATTTTGTTGTTTCAGCAATCAAAAGTGCAGAACCAGAATGGTATAACGCCCTAACGTCAAACCTTACAGAAGCTCAACTGAAAAGCCTAAATGAGATATGCGTGTTAGCGGAACAAAGAGCTGCGGCTAGGGAAAGTAAACGAATCGAACAGCAAGGAGGTGAGTACTTGATGAAAGTTGAAGTAATATAATTTTTGTTGCCAGAAAAAGACAGTGTTATACTTTTTGTCAATGTTTATACTTTATCTGTACGCTATTATGAAATACGAAAATTGAAATTCGCTTGTATCTCTTAGCTGTACACTCATTTAGTTATGCAACTTTACTATTTATATTCCTAATTGAAACAGCAAATGAAGAAGTTGGGCCTAACCGTTAGGTTTAAATGTAATTTTAATCGTCATAAAATCACAAGGTTTTAACTTGATTCACATGACGAAAAATATGAATTCTTATCCCATGGTAAGAGAATGATTAGGTAAGTGTTATTATCATACAACGACGTAATGTGGGGTTTTCTTCCTCCTCTTTCTGCATGTGTATGAGATTCATGTCTGTCGAATATTTGCTGTATCTCCTTGGTCTATATCTCTTTCAAGTTACACAGGAATTTTTATCACATGGGAAGCTGGTCACTATGTTTTATGGTTATGCTAGGGCTCGAAGTTGACTTATCATCCTCATCTCCCTCCACATATATAATCTTGATGACGTGCGTCGACTGTCTGGTATCTTTTATCTTCTTTTTCCTAAGTTTCATTCTTATAGCGTTGAAAAGACGTACCACTGGTCGACAAACGCCGCCTTTGATAGATTGTTCTAATGTGGAACCTGATTCTTCGGTTTTCTGGTCCTGGTTCTTTTGTTCTTGGACGATGAATTTCAGCAAGGATGTTTCGTAATCTGGAAAATCTTTATTTAGTAAGGGACCGTTCCCATCGAGAACAACTGGTAACCACAACCTAACTCGGCTTATGTACTCGTATTCAAATACAAACATTCACACCAAGGTGACGGAACGCCACCTGTTGCTCGACGGTTGTTGGCAGTACCATCGATAGTCTGTTGACCAGCAGTTGATAAAAAAATGTCATCTGTTGATGTTATTGTGTCACTTCAGCTAACATTTCGTTAACAAATTATTGATAATCTGTTAAAAATACTTTTCTATTGCGTTTTTGTGTTCTTTGTAGTCATTTATTATCTGGTACGGCGGGTTTTTTTGCGTTAAACTGGCATTAAACCGATACCAGACAAAAAACTGATAATGTATGACCCAGAGTCACAACATACATTTGAGGTGTTCCTGAATAATGATGATAATGGCTTGTAGCCTGCTTCATCTATAACTAGACACTGTGAAAATAATTTTAAATGTCTACACTAAAATATGAATTCAACAAATTTACGCAGAAGCTTTGCAATAAAAATGCAGACCTCTGGCGTGTTGCGTCATCAGGCATCAATTGGATAGTCTGACAATGCTTCTGAAAAATGGGCAAAATGGGTTTCACATTTTTGTTGTTAGAGCTTTGTGGGACAAACTCCATACTCGTCATTTAAAATCTAGATAAGAATTGAATAGCTTGGAGTTCGAATCAATAACACAAAAGAATAAATATTTTCTGGCAGTGTGATAACAAACTGTCAACGTAAAGCAAATATCAAAAGACATGTTAGGGTTTTATCGTTGCGTTCCCGTGCACATTTGCTAGAGCAGTTTGAGAACGTCACACTCCGGATGCATACAACTCGCAATGAAAAAGCACTGAAAATCGGCTCGATGGACTTGTTGGCATAGAACTTGACTTCAAATAACTCATCAAAAAAATTCAAGAAGCCCACAGGCACTCGTACATTAAATGAAGAAATGCAGTACTGCAGCATCGAGATTATTGTTAATAATAAATAACAACCACTTTGATCGAGAGCGCAGTTTAGCATCAACCTATTCTTCCACGTAACCCTAATTCAGCAACGTTTGTGCAAAATTGTTATGGAAAACTGAGAGAAAAGTGTAAGTATTCGTCTGCAAAGCCGAGGAGTCCGTTTACCTTATGCGCGATTCCAAATTTCATACATTAAACTTTCCTGTGTCCTTAATGATTTAATGAAAATCAAACTAACGAAGTGATTTCTGCTTCATTCAAATTTTCTATGAAAATTGGGACACCCTTAGTTATATTTCGTGAAATTTTACGAACAGTTTTGTAATTATAAATGGTTTACCTACGGAATTCCACCTTGTCTTCCCAGTCGGCATACTCTGACTTCTCCTCAATAATATGACTGATGGTTCGTCGTTAAACGTCAATTTTTGTGATTTTTTTTCCTTGCTAGTGCGGCTACGGCGTCTCAAATTGGAAAAAAAATGTTGGATACTTTTCCTTGATTCCGTTAACCTGATTGAAAGACTTTTCCTAAAATTAAAAATATATATACTATATATAAACATTAAGTGAACATGACGCCATTTGCATTGCTTTGGATGTCTTCTCAATAATATCACATTCGCTTAGCCACTTGAAAATATTAGTCAATAGGCGTTGTTCTCGCCAAAAGCAAGCTGACTTCAACACAATTCCGACTTCTGTTGCGCTGATTTTGCGTTTTCACCGAAGCAACTGACAGTCTCGTTTGGTGGTAGTAATGCGTTTCTCAATCTTTTATCAGCCGCGGCCCGATTACACATTTCTTATCGTTCTCCCCCATAATCGTATTTTAAGTTTCACTACGATCTTGATAATAAACTTTAAAAACCACTCAATTCTACTGAAATTTCCCGGCAGCAAACCTTAGCCTATAGCATGGTCTTGTAATAATTAATACTGTTTTATTTTTCTTTCGGAATCCACCCTTGACGACTATGCACTCTCCGCAGTAGTCGATTTTGGTGATAGCTGGCGCTTCGCCCTGTCTTAATTCGATTGACCGTACTTCTTGGATAAAGGAGAGTTGCGATGCTTCCGTTCGTTACAAGAGATGAGAGACCAAGCCTAGACCATGCTGATCAGTTGCCAAGCGCGGCTGTGGCTGTGACTACACTTGTTTCGAGCACTCTTTCTAACTCACGTGCTCTCTCTCGCACACAAATTTAAATCAGCTAGGGATAAGGTTCATGGCCAGCATTGCGTAGATGCATATCTAACAGTAAGGCCCGATTTTACTAAGCCGGAACCAAAAAAATACGTAGGTCACAAATTCAACCAATGAGAAGGCGTCTTTGAAGTAATGGATTTGATGAATATGGTCGATTTCTTGTGAAATATCTCTCAAACTAGAGAAAAATTATACGATTTGTGTAAGATGGGCCCCTAATTCCCATATTAAATCAAGAAATACGTAATAAATCACTTGGTTTAGATACAAAAAACTTATTGTTTCATTTGAGTCCGGACCCTAAATTATTGGTCATGATCACACCAATGAACAACAAGGATTTGCCCCATACTTGACCCATGAACTCAGATCTGATAGAATATTTAGATTGATATCAAAGAATTATATGAGGAGTTTATTTTATCTTCAAAGAATTTATTAAGCAGAGTTTTGTACAGCAACAATGGGACACTGTGTGTCAATCTATTGTATCAGGTTTGATCCATGTTTCGAGTAGGCCACAGATCATTTTTGATTGATGGAATTTGGGTCACCGTTTGTGTCCGGACACAAAAACAGGTTTTTATAACTTACTGAATCATGTGATTTAGTATTTCTTGTTTTAGTATGAGAATTAGGAGCCTATCTTACAGAAATCGTTTGTTTCCCTACTGTAAGAGATATTTTAAATCGACCAAATCCATTAGATCCATTACTTTAAATACGCCTTTTTATTGGTCCAATTTGTGCCATTGAGATACTTTTACCCGGCTAGACGTGGTAACGCGGTCAGAGCATACACATACACTATGCTGTGGCGAACAAAAATTTGTGTAATAGCATACCAGAAAATCAGGACACTCACCAATCTTTCTGCTGAGAATATTTTTAGTATTAAGAGCTAATGTACGGAGAAATCTATGATGTGTGATATATGTATGTGAAATAGGCGCGTAGAACTACCAAGGTAGTAGTATGAATTAACATAAAAAATTGATATAAAATTTTTTCAAAAATGATCATTATCCTCTGAAACGTCAAACAACGAAATTTGAGCGATTTTTATTCTTTTTCGTTTTTGGACATTTTCTCTGCAGCCACTGGGCCACATTTCAAAAACTACAAAGCTTTTGTGCTTTGTTGAAATTTGATCCAAATCTGAGCGGTACTTTTCAAGTTATAGGCTGTTATAAGATTAGCGGACAGACAGACCGACGGAAATGAGTGAGATGGTTTTCCGTGATGTATATGTCATATAACATCCAAAAACGTTTTATTTTCGAAAATTGTCGCGATAATACTTCCAAATCAGTAAGTGTGAGAAGTAAAACAGATTCCATTTACCTTTTAAACATGACATAAACCTTTCAAAGAAAGATTGCTCTTCAAGACCCCTCGGTAATTGAATCGGTCATTACAAAAACCACTTACGTAATTAGTACAACTAATATTTTCTTCAACGTGATTTTTTACCAAAAATGCTTTCTTTAGGTAGAATGGGAATTCTGGGTATGAACCAGGCTCCTCATCATTTTATATCTCAATTTTTTGCGATAGTATGTTTATCCCCGGTAAATCTACGCACCCACTAAACATATTTTACAGATCATAGATTTCCACTACACTTTTTCCATCATTCGACAGTATTAACGAGATTGAGACTAAACCATGGTAGATCCGGAGACCACATTTTCAGAATGGGAATCATTGAAAATAATTGTTGCGTACTGTGACAACACCAAAGTAGCGGAACTTACCCTTTTCGTTTGATTGCCATCTTAGCCTTCGAGCTTTTCTCGCTTATATATGAATAGTCACTTCTACTTTCCTGATGCTGTATCGAGGAGATCTCTGGGAGATCCTGCGTTTGTATTTTTTTGCAAACATACGTGACGTCTCCGTCAAGGATTGCCATTTTTTCGCAAATCCACGTACTATCTACCTTCATCGTATGCGAGTCGAATGGTACAGCCACGCTGGTTGATCCGTCGACCATCAAATAGTGGTATTTGCTGTCGCCTAGTCTTTGAGTTGACGTCGTCGTCTGAAATTATTATTAGTTTATTCGTTTGATGAGTATATCACGAGTAGTAAAAGTTGTTCTATGTAACTAATTAATGAAAGACCTGAAACTGGTTCGCTGTCTTCATGCTGATAGAACCCCCTTTTGGCCAAAATGAAACCACATATGTATTTTACCGATGTTTCGGCCATCATTTGAGCTTTGAAAAAGGTGGCGTGATAGCCAAGATATCAGTAAAAAGTAATTTCTATACATTATATCGACAATTAAGTTCTAACACAAAAAATTAAGATCGTCGTCAGTAAACAGTATTTCAAGCATATGTGGTTTAATTTAGCAGTCGGACAGAGATAAGACATGCATGTCATTCGATAGGAAATCCTTTTTGTTCTCCTAAAAAGTAGTCAGTCTTGAGTTTTGTGAAGTTAGAACTTAAGCGACGATGTGTAGTTTCATTTGGCCAGAAAATCCTGGAGTTATGAATAAGGAATGAATTCTCCTTCTAGAAGTTTTTTTTTCATCTCCTAAACGAAATAGTATGATTTTTGTACCATTCTATTCAAATTGCTGGTATTTTTAATAAATTATGATTTTAAAGTTTCATCGATATTTTATTCTTTTATTGTAGTATTTTGCTGTTATTTAAAACCACGAACTCTTCTATTTTGACATTTTTGGTCAAAATTCACCCATTTTCGAAAGTTTAACTTTTATTATATCAACATACTACCCAATTTTTTACACATAAACTTGACAATGATAGGGAAATGGTTACGATCAGCGTACTCTTGCTATTTAAGCTCACCGCCCAGCGTACTGGTCGGGCTGAATAATCTATCCGTATTACGCTAACGCAAAAAAAACATTACACAGGCCATGCATGAAGTGAACGATTCCACGCAGATGTGGAGAGGGGCAGCGGTGACAAATGGAAAGTAACTACCGATAGGGCAGGGAAATACTGTGTATGGACTAATTGAATAGGCCTGTTTGACTGACTTAATCCGTTTAATTTATCTGCTGTACATGTTCGTAACTGACTTTTTTCTCAGAGGATTTAGATTGCACTGTACTTAATCCTTTATGAATTGAAGACAGCGTTGCGTGGGAGTCAACCTGTTTGACGCCATTTTTTTGTTAAATTGCTGTGGTTAGAATTACTAATGAAATAAGCACCACTTTATATTGTGATATGATGGATTTGTCATTCATAAAATAAAAGTTTCCCACTTCTTCCCAATAAATAGTTCCACTACCACTGCAAACATCCTGTATATATTACCTTTTCAGCAAGTTTAGAGAGTTTGGTCTTCACCTCCTGTTCCTCACGCTCTTTAGGCTCTACAGGCTCCCAGGGGTTGGGTTCGATAATGACCTCAGGGAGGCATTTCTCATCGCCTCTCATCGATTTGTACATGTTGATGATACAGTCCGGTTCCTCCTGGCACACCTGCAACAACTGTTCTATGGTGAACTTTCCATCCGGTCTTCCGCAACATGTGTGACACCTGTTCAGCTTGGTAATAAGCCTTTCTGAGTAGCTTTTCTGGGCTTCTCGCGAATCGACTATTCTGCACCTGTCAGATTTTGATATACAGGATGTTAGTAAAGCATGTGACCATACATCAATTTGTGATTTCTTAAGGCTCTTCTAAACGGACAATATTTTTCTATCAACTTAAAAAGTGACATCAAATTTTTATGACGTAGGTTTGTTTACATTATGTTGGTTTTCGAATGTCACCTTTTAAATAACTGACATTCACTTCATGTTCATTTGTAGTACGCGCGGAATGAACTAGCAGCTGCCTAGTGCACAAGTTGACATTTTGCCAATTTTTTTGAATATTCTAGAAAAAAGTTTCAAACGACAGTTGTAGGGTTTTCAGGGGGCAAAATGAAGATGACCTTGATAACGACCTTCAACGTCAAGTGAGTAGATGTCTTATGGGGATTCGGTCTCAAAACTTCCAAAATCCGCCACCAGAGGCGCTGGCGTCGCGCGCCATTGACAGGTTGTTGGACGGAATCTGTATTCATGAGTTGGGGATTCCGCCGCTAGATGGCGCTGTCAAACCAAACGGAATCTGTGTGTCATTGGACACCTGTCATGCGTCATTGGGCATCTCACGCATAGATGGCGTTACACGTCATCTGTCATACGTCATTGGACACCTGTCATTGATGGGTTGAGCATCTCGCGCATAAATGGCGTAGATTTGTTTGGCGGTGTACAAACCTAACGGAATCTATGCGTCATTGGACAGCTGCCATTGATGGGTTGGGCATCTCGCGCATAGATGGCGCCGATGTCGCACCTGTCTGGTGTTGGCGTGGATTACGGGGGGCAACGTGTATACAGGGGTGCATCGAAAAATAGCGGATCGATGGACCGACGGTATATCGTTAAATCGTATATAGCAAGGCGTGACCTAAATAGCGTGGTGGGCTCCTCTGGTCGGTCGGTCGGTCGGTCAGAATGTCTCATAACCTGTATACGATGTACTGTTATTATTATACAGGATGATACCGTTCAAAATGAAAATAGTATAATGGATATTTTATTGAAACATATAGTATATATAACAATAAGGTTGATTGGTGTGTGTGTGTGTGCCATGTTTTGAATACCCGCGCTTGAACAACTTGCAACAAGAAATTCCGACAATATTATTTCGCAAACCAGAGGTATTTTCAATAAAACTACATATCAGGGAGTACTTTAGATGTTGATACTAATCGACTCAAATCATTGTTCGACAACTGATTTGGTTCATGACAGACAAGAATCAAATTATGTATTTCACGGTTCAGTTCTGGTTGTTTTTTAATTTTTTCCCTAAACTTCAGGTAACCCAGGAAATATGTCTCTTATCCGTCCTCTGTTCAACACATCAGTAAAATCGTTAGAAAATTCTATATATGACATATTATTATAAAAGGTATAGGACCGTCCTGCGTTTGATTGAAAAATAGCATTGATTCGAGCCCTATCGGGTATATCAATTGAAAAATTATCAAGAAATTTAATGGTAGGGAATGATGCTGAGAAATAGTTGTTTGGAGACACAATGGTAATCAAGTCACCGTTTGTTGATTGGAAAATATGTTGTAAAGTGTATTGACGTAATTCTGTAGGAACATAATCGACAAGAAGTTCAGGCTGAGATGGGATAATCATTTCGTTTAAGTCTAGTTTCCATATAAACATATCATGTGCAATATATAATCGGTAATTTGAAAACTCTGGAGCAATAGCTAAAAACATAAAATCTGGAATAATATCACACAAATTTTTGAGGATCGGCTGCTTACGAGTTGTAGATCTTATAGTTGTTGTTGTTTTTGGTATTGCTGATGCGGTGGTAGACGTTGGGATTGAATCATATTTGTTTTTTCTTCCATATAGATATTGTACTGCATTTATATCATCAACATCTAGACCACGAATCTCATGCTGATAGAAGGCAAACATAATAGCATTCGGAGAAGCACTATGTGCTATGCCGAGAGCATGTCCAATTTCATGAACCAACACCTGATAGAGAATGATGTCAAAAATCTCAGATAGCAAATATAAATTCGTTTACCCCCCAATCAAAATCTTGACTGAAAAAAAATTAGGCAGCAAATATACAATAATCATACACGAATTTACTATATTTCTAAATTTCTACTCTCATGTGCAACTTGTAATTGGAATTTCCGCCGGACAAACGATACATTCATGTATTACTAAGAAATTATATAAAAAATACTGCAACCGCAATGAATGTTGTTTTCTCGATAAAAATGGTACTGAGAATATGATGCATATAATATGCATATTTACGATACAATTATCTCATGCACGCGTGTGTTATCTCAACCACGTATTTATATTTAGCGAGCGCATGCAATAGTCATCATTGTTTCACACTTAACGCACAACGCTGCAAGCTGGAACAACGGCCGCAGTACAATAGTGCTTCGAGAGAGACGAGATAGCGAAAATTTTAAAAAAAGTAAGTGCTATTTTATTTAATATTTTTCTTTTTTATGTCTCTAAGTGCAACTGTTTTTTCGTGTTATGCTTCAAAATAGTTAGACGACTCAATTTTTTTTATAGATGGATTTATCAAAAATTAATGCTGCGTCTTCGATTGTAGACCGCAAACCTATCAGAAAATTAAAGGACCTACCAGTCGGGACACCATTTGCAATCCAAGCAGCTAAAGTGGTCAAGTCGAAATTTGGGGAAGCCGTGCTACTAGATTTAGGACCGGAAGTGCTATTTCTACCACAGCGGGTGACGGAAACGTACCAGCCGGTCATCGACGAACTTTTTCACGGAAAATACTCGATCATCTTCCAAGGGGAAGTGGACGTAGGGAAAAGCCGACCGCTAGCATCATTCAAAATAGTGGAAAATTAACAAAGCAGAGAACAGGAGGAGGAGGACAGGGTGAGCATTTTTATATATTTTTGAGTAATGTGTTTGCTTGAAAAAAAAAATGTCGTCTTTTCAAATGTCTTCAAATAAGGTTAAAAAGATCATCAAACAAACAGACGGTGTTCTACTATCAATTGTTAGTCTACGGAAAATTTTATTTGATAATTTTACAATCAGAGACGCGGAAGTGTGGCTGAAACGAATAGAAAAACAAATTAGATTATGTAAACGGGTAATTCGTAGTAGAAGGCAAAATAAATTATCTGTAGGGACCTGTAGAAAAGTAGAAACAAATTTGGGGCATTTTAAACATTTTAGAAAGTTGATTTTAACTAGACATATTGGGGCAGGACTTCACTTAACATTGGGTCAGAGGGTTAGATGGGAAAATGTAGAATCGAGCTTTCAAAGTAGAATAAAAACCGGTTCCATAGCTAATTTGCGTCATAAGGACTTGAATCAATTTTTAGCAGATTGTGTAGTTGTTTTTAAAAGGAAAATTAGGAATATTTTGAACACCCATTGTGCGCTCAAAGTAAATACAACATTTTGCGGGGAGTTTATTAGGAAATCGGGGGATAATGAAATTTTGGGAATTAAATATATTAATACTAAAAATCATATTATTGATACATCAACTCAAATAGACGAGTGGTTTAAGATATATGTGAAAGATAAACTTTTAAACGAATTATCGGAATTTGCTGAAAAAGATTCGGGATTTGCGTTAAATAAAATTATTTCCTTAGTTGTTAATATCAGTAAATATCAATTGGGAAACGGTTCATCTTATATTAGACTACCAGAACCGATTATAAGGAAAAATGCTTGTATAAACATTAAAAATATAGATCAAAATTGCTTTTACTGGGCCATTGTAAGCGCTCTTCGGACTCCTAGCAAAAAAAGACATGCAGAACTAACCTCCTCATATCCACACTTTACTGACGTTTTACAAACAGAAAATTTAGATAGTCCTATGCTGCTAACAAAAATTTCAAAATTTGAAAAGATGAATAACATTTCAGTCAATGTTTACGCTTTAGAATTGATCGAAACAGAAAAAAAATCATTTTACATAGTAGTACCAGCAAGATTAACGGAAAATAAACGGGATACGCATGTTAATTTACTTTTAGCTCAAAATAAATATTATCCGCGTTTAAATGATTATGATGCTCCTCCACCAGCGCCAGCAAATGAAGATAATGATTCAATCGATGAAATTAAATATCACTATTGTTGGATTAAAAATCTTTCGCGTCTTATTAGTAGCCAGTTAAATAAACATCGTGAGAAAAAATTTATTTGCGATAGATGTCTGAACTATTTCCATCAGCAAAATAAATTAGTTGAACATGAAAAACTGTGTTCTAAATTTAATAAATATAAAATTAACCTTCCTAAAGAGAGCTGCGTTGAATTTAAAAACTTTACATACCAACAAAATACTCCTTTTGTTGTTTATGCAGATTTTGAATGTCAATTAGAAAATCATAAAGAAAGTAGCGTCGTAAATTTAACTAAAACCATAAAATATCAAAAACACGTTCCGTATAGTGCTGGTTTCTATGTAAAATGCAGCTATGATGATAGCCTTTCTTATTTCGAGAGCTTTCGAGGTGCAGATTGTATGGATTGGTTTGCAAATCGTATGGCTGGTGTTGCGCAATTTGTAAACTCAAAAATAAAAACAAGCGTACCTATGATTGAAAAATTAGACACATGTAAGGCAACATCATGTCATATTTGCGGTAAGAGATTTTCAAAAACAAAAAAAGACATAATCGTTAGAGATCACAACCATTTCAGTGGAGAGTTCAGAGGTTACGCACACCAAGCATGCAATCTGAACTTTAGAAAATTGTTTGTTGTGCCGGTTATATTCCATAATTTAAGTGGGTACGATAGTCACTTTATGATTTCGAATTTATGTAAAAAAGGTCGCTTAAGTCTACTTCCCATCAACAAAGATAAATACATCTCCTTTACGCTGCACTCAGATGAAAATAACATTAAATTGCGGTTTATAGACTCTTTTCGATTTATGGGGGCGTCTCTTGATGAATTAGCTTCAATTTTAGCAGTATCAGAAAAGAAAATTTTACAAAGGGAATTTCAAAATTTAGATGAAGATAAATTCAAATTATTAACACAGAAAGGAGTTTTCTGTTACGATTACATTGATTCGTTGAAAAAATTAAATGAAACGACTTTGCCCCCAATTGAAAAATTTTACAATAAATTAAACGATGAAAG